CCGTAGTTTTCTAAACTATGGTCGGAACACTCAGTGTTACTTGCACAGTAACCGGCTATCCTTGTTGATTTTTGATTTATTTTTCAAGTCATATTTAATTCATTTGTCAAAAAGAAGGCAAATGACGCTCTGCCAGCCAGTACAAAATTGCAATTGGCGCGAAAAAACTTGACGTCTTTTAAATTTTCGAAAAATATTTTTATTTCGAAGATTTCCCAGTGTTTGTGTTCCCAGTAACGCGATGTGTTTTTTCTTGGAAATTGGAATGTTGAAAAATGTTCAAAAACCGATCATGTTCAAAACTGTGCATTCGCGCTTCTCATTTTTCTGCCGGCTATGTTTTTCAAATGGAAGTCGCGCGTACAATTGTTGTATATCTTTAATAGCATATTTTCATCCGCTTTATTAATGCGCATTCATCACTGCCTGGTATTTGCTATGTGGAATTGTCTTTAAAACTTTCGGCCAGATGGTGCAGCAGTGGAGTTAAAAACCTTATAATCTGGGTTTCTGTGCCTCTATTCCCGTAATTGGCAAAATACTTTTTTGTTTCAAGGTTTTTACGACTTAGTTTGTATTACCTTTCCTTTTCGAAGCTACTTTTTGCCATTTTTTGTTTGTTTGCGAACTTAAACCTCACATGAGACGCCAGATGAGAACTTATAACCTATTAAGAATTGTTCGAACAGCTTTGTCAGTTTCAATTTTGATCGATGTTTTTTTTGTGTTTCAAGATTCAAAGAAATGCAGCTGAAAGCTGAATTTAATTTGTTCTTTTGTGTTCATTTTTAGACAAGTAGGTTCTTTTTTTACTATTAAGAGCAGCTAGCTACGGTTTCTGTTGTGAAGCAAATGGAACAATTGTTTAAATTTTCTCAGTCAATTCTTACTCTTGTTTCTAAAAATAACTTGAAAATTTCCTAAAAAATGTTTGTGCCCAGAAAAATCGTGGTCTGACTTTTTTCGATTTTAGACCAGATTTCACTGACACTGAGCTTTAGTGTAACTCACAATTCAATTTGATGACATTCTTTTTATTTATTTTTGTAACTTGACGTTTTTAGCTCTAATTACTTCTCAATCTGCAGTTTTTTAAACTTAGTTAAATCGCCCTTTAATAAATCGACTAAAAATTATGGAAACATATTTTTTTCTTGATTTTTTTTCCACAATCTTCGAATTTTTTAAACCTAAATTGTAGTGATCAAAGCACTTTGTGCTAATTGAACAGCAACCGAGTATCCTTGTTAAATTATAAAATCTGTTGTGTGCTTGTATTAAATTTTTCATGGTATATCATTGTTCCGACTATCGAAGGAAACGGAATATTTATGCTTGGGGTAGTATTTTTCAGTCAATTTTCAGAAATAGTTCTTAGCTAAATTTTTTATGCGCCATTGAAGATATCGACTCCCAAATTTAAAAAGATATTTTACCTCCGATCATTTTTTGCAAAGTTTTGGGAGGTTGAAAATTGCCAATTGGGCCATGCTCTCGACTAATTTATGTGCGCGTTTTACTTTTTATCCATAATCCTGAAAGCAAAACGCAAATTTTTTATGCGTGGTGTGTTATCTCGCACAAGAAAGTTGTTCAAATTGAACTGATGCTAGCTAATTGGTCGTATTTTTTTCGCACGACTCAAATTTTGACACTTGACTTTTGATATTATCCAAAGTTTTTGGTTTTTCATGATTTTCGTTCATAAAAAATTTTGATATTTGTTAAGGGGCAGTCGGAACAATTAGGGCTTTGTCCTGATATACGAGCAATCTTGTTGTGAGTTAGGTTTTTTGGATATACTTAACAATCCCCCCCCCCCCCCCCTTAGTGGTACCTAATGAAGAATTTACACCCCTATAAATAAATACAGTAAACAGTAAATTAGCACTGAGCTTTCTATTGAGAATTCTAATTTTGCTGCATTCTGATTGGTCGAAAAATCGACCACTTTGATCTACTTAACAATCTTCCCCCCCCCCCCCCCCCCATCCCCCCTCTTTCCTGAAAGGGGTGGAGAGTGTTAAGTAGATCCGGTTTTTTTTTCCATTATCCTCACCAAAACACGTACCGCATTCGATCGTTGATAGGTAATTATGGCAAAATAATGTTAATTTCAGACTGGCATGTGAAAAAATCTAGTAAAGTCGACTGCTAGATGTAAATACATGTGATCATTTTCCCGCTTGTCACGTTACTGGACCAAGAAGCTTATTGAGCTTTAGCTCAGAAATATGCTTCTAGAGGAAACTATTCGGCCGTGCATTGTCGTCAGCGATGACGATGTCGCGTATCACTTCAACCGAATTGGGACCTCGAATGGTTTGGCAGCGGGAAGCAAAGCTCATTTTTGAGATCTCGCGGTTACCTCAGTTTTTGTCTTCAGATTACATCGGATCAGTTTAAACTCAGGGCTGGTGGTTTGTTCGTCTCACAACTAAGCGAGTAGTTTTTATTGACTAAAATCGGTGGCATCTGAATTCACGAAATGAAACATAATGTAAACTGCTAATGCAAGTTGTTCCCGCGATAATAACTTTGGAAACAAATGCAATTTTCTCAGAAATTCTCAGGAAGAAATTCAAAATTGTGTTTTCTAAACTTGTCATTCCGTGATACCTGCTAAAGCCCTCGGTTTGATGTTTACTTTACTACAAAAAGTCTATAGAATGCAATTGCCCGTCACTGTGAAACCAAGAAATTAAAGGGATCTTTGCTGCCTTTGGACAAATTACATTTGCGCAATATCAATGCACAATATTGATTACTTTTGCCTGGAGCAAAATTTACTGATGAAGTTCTGCCAAGTCTGATAATTGACATATCCGATACGCTTCCAAATATACGAGAAATTCAAAAAAACCGCCGCCTAGCGTGGCATTCGAAAAATTCTGGGCCGCTTGCGATTTATTTTGAACAATATGAAGTATTTCTTGGCCGTTTTGGGAGTCATTTTGACTAGAAAACAAGATTTGTTCATGTGGGTTCAACAATAGCCGCTGCCTATTTTTATTTGGACTGTATTTAAATTTTGACAGGATACTAATCACTCGGAATTGTACTATTATTTTACAACGGACACCCTACTTCATCATATTACATCCAAAGACTCAAAGAATTGAGAGAAATTTTAGTTGTGAATTTCAGGGAATTATCTAAATGTTCTATTTTATGCAATAGTTGTTGAAAAATGTATCTGTATTAACCACCGAAACCAAGTACCTTAAATTAAATATAGCACTCTATTATTTTGTGAGCATTGAGTTTATTGTGAGCATTCTCCCTGGCGAAAATCATTCAACTAATTGATTTATCGAAATGATTTTTGGAACATTAGTTAAATACGAAAGGAATAGGGTGACATTTTTCAAGAGTAGAAAGAATCATTCTTGGCAGTGATTTTTTGTTCAAAAGTCGATAAAAGTAGTTCAGATTCCTATATACACTAGTGGACAAAATTAAGCGCAAATTCAGGTTTTTATTCTCTAAAATGCCTGTTTTCAATGTCCCTTTTTTACTCCGCTTATTCAAGAAAGAATTCACTACGATGCAAAACTTAGTGCAGAGGAAGAAATCTGGCATTTTCAGACCCGGTTTACCCTGGTTAGTCATTGAAACCAAGTATTGATACTTTCATAGAGGGTAGCGCTGATCATTTGCTCTTGGTTTAAGTAAAAGGTTAACTGAATTTCAAGGGAAATATTTTCCAAAATGGACATTGGAAAAAGGCATTTTAAAGAGTAACTTCCTAAAATTGCGCTGAATTTTTTCCACTAGTGTAGGTTGTGATAATTTTCCCCCCTAGTTTGAATTTCTTTTTAATTTTAGTTCGTTTCCTTTGTTAAAGGAGGGGCAAACTCCACTATCGAACAGCAAAAGTGTAAAGGTCATGAAAAGCGTGCGACATCTATTTTCGAAAGTGGAATTTAATTTTCAGTTTTTCAAGCGGCATATTATCTTCACATATTGATGCATTTTTCTCAAATTGAGTTAATTTCATCAAAAGGTGTCAATCATAAGTTGCTTAAAAGTAATGAACGTAGCAAGTACTATTATATAGGCCATGCTGTTTTTTTGTTTTTCAGGAAGAAGTCTTAAAATTTGTTCACGCTCAATTTTGATTTTTCGCGGTTTGATTTGTGATTTTTTTTAAAGTTCAGTGCATTTCTATTGTTAAAAGGAAGGCAAGGTCCACTATCAAACAGCAAAGTTGTAAAGATCACGAAAAACGTGATCGACTTCAAATTTCGAAAATGGAAATTATTTTTCAGATTTCTCAGCGAAATCAAAGTTTTACCTATTGATCCAGTTTTCTCAAATGGGTCAATTTTAACAAAAAAAATGTCCATCATAAAATTTTCTACAAATTCAAAGAGCGTTAATACCATCTAAGATTTTTTTTCAGTTTCCTTGCGTGCATACTTTCCAACTGTCAGTTTTTTATGTTCTTGAAATTTGAAGAGCTTTTAGGCTATCTGTTTTTTCTTTGAGTTTCGAAAGTTGATATTTTTGTCATTAGTCAATAGTTTTTCTCTTTACTTGTGTTCATTGACTCTTTTCCAACTGTCTATTGGCTATCTTTAAATTGAGCAGATTAATCACTGCCAATTGCAAATTTTCAACCAAATTGGTTAATCATTCCATGGTTTTAGATATCTTCTTTCCACTCCTTTGGGCTTGTCGAAACAAACTTAAAGCTTGAGTAACCACCGAAACTCGACGTAGTTTACTTGAAAAAAAAACACAAAAATTATATAACACAAGCCCTGAGTATATACTAGTGTTTTCTCCATATCTTTAAAATCAGTGCGTTCGTTCAAAATTACGATGCAGTTTAATTCTAAGTGCTGTTACTTTGAAAATGGTTTGTTGTGGGACCACAATGTGCTGATTGAAGTTCTTGTGTTGCACTGACAGAAAGAAGTCCGGTTTGATTTCTTTCTCTGTTAGATAGCAGGTTGAATTCGTCATTTACGGACAATATGATGATTTTAAGATACAATATGGCTTATCAACCTTTAATACCAAACGAGAACCCTCAAAGAGCACCGGAGAGTGACGAAGAGGTAGAGGGGGCTGCAGCGAATGTCCCCGCTCCCAGACTCAACGCAGGCTTCCTCCGAGTGAATGTACCCCCGCCCGAGACGACCCAGCCCCCCAAACAACAACCCCCAGCTCAATCCCATCCTGTAGCACAATCAGGTATACCATCAAGTTTGTATTTGAACAAAATGAAAAATTATTCGTAGCTTTCAGCTAAATTTTATGTCAATGTTTTGATGCTTCTATAAACTATGAATTTTCAATGAACTAACTATTTGGTTTAAAGGAAATGAATAATAAACGGGAAACAAGTAATTTATCCCTATCTTTGAATTATGTTAAATTTAGTACCCTTCACATTATCATCGTGCTAGGGGCACAAGTTTTACGCGTGTATGCAAATTTTGAGGTTTTACCGAGAGACAACATGTGTCAACTCGGTTATTTATACGTCCTTTTATAATGTTTGAACGTCAATGATAGCTAGGAAAATCACTGCAATTAGATTTTTTTCATGCTTGGGTTACAGCACTTTTGTACCCGTAGCTGCTTTGACTTGCCAGGGAATTTCAGCGTTGTCTCATGCGTTGAAACTTTTTTTTTGTGAAAGCCAAAGTCAACCGCAAACAAATTATTCGGGGCTTTTAGTACATTTTTTTGTGTTATTTTGTCATAAAACAGTACAGCATGGCTGGCCGTCTTTCTATTTTTGGCTGCGGTGCATTGATTGATCGATCAATTGGTTTTGTCACTCTGGCTGGCGGGCCATTAAACTGTTTGAATGTTCAAGGCGCTGCTCCCAATACCAACCAGGCTCCAGGCGTTCAACCGGTAGCGGCTCCCATGCCGGGATACCAGTACGTGCAAGTTCCAGTATATAACGTGTGGACAGATCCCAATGTGGTCGGTCAGCTGGCAGTGGTGGTTGAGAGAGCGAACCTTGTGAAGAACTATGGACTGACGAACATGAATCCCTACTGCAGAATGAGAGTGGGCCATAACATGTCCAACACTAGGATAGCGGAAGGTGCCGGCAAGGTATAGTCATGAATAAAAATCAGTTTTAAATAAAATCGGCTCTCCCCCCACCCCCACCGCACATAATCATCGATTTCATGTTGTAACGAGTGGTTTTACAAGGTTGAGTATGAAGACCAAATATGTTTGTCATAGCCTAAGTAGTCCGCAAGCCAAATTTTATAACACTTTGACAAAAGCTTACTTTAAAAAAAATTGCAGGTGGGGGGGGGGGGGAAGGAAAAAGCCGTAAAATTTTGAACTCTGATTATTAAATGAGTTGATGCAACCACTACAGTTTTTTTTTATAACACTGCCCAATTGATGAAATTTGGCATTGGTGAGATAGAAATACATATGCTAGAAGTCAGGGAGCAGCCGTGGCCGAGTGGGTTAGGCACATGTCTCTCAACGCGAGGGTCATGCGTGCGAATCCCACTTCGGTCACGGTTGGACGGGTCCCAGAGTCATCCGCCTCTTCAAGGTGGGCACCGAACGGCTGCGGCGAAATGAATGACATCTCTCTCCCCCGCCGTTGGTCCTGCAATGAGCTGGACCGGGGCTAATCATAAAAAAAAAACTTTGCAATTTTTTTGCTAATACTTTGTTAAAACAATGTGTCAATAGGAGATTTTTGGGCTCTTTTCCAGTTCCCCCCCCCCCCCCCCCCCCCTTTGTTAAATTACAAAAAGAGATGCTCAAAAATTGTTCACACGGCAATTTTCATGTTAGAAATTTTGTGAAAATTTGTTCAGCTGTTCACGCTGACACGTTTTAATGCAGTTTACAACACTAAAGATTGTTTTTAAAAGACTTTCATGTAATGAATTTCAGAAAAAATGAAAGGGGGGGGAACTGGAAAAGAGCCGATTTTTGAGATATGTATGATCCATGCCAGGATGCATATTACACTACACCTTATTAATGTTTCTCCATCTCATTTTAATTTGAGTTCTGACATTTTCAAAGTTGAATATTAATAATAAAAGAACAAATTCCAGAAGCCAGCGTGGAACCAGCGACTGGCTCTTCCGCTCACAAAGGGAATTGACATGATCTATATGGAGGTGTTCGACTCTTGCGTCCTCTCTTCAGATCAGATGGTGGCTTGGGCTTGCATCCCTATCTCAGAAGAGTTGATTTTGACAGGTGGAGACAATGGTTCCAAATCACATACGCTGTCGGGAAAACAAGGAGCAGACCTGGAGGGAACCATACAAAGTACGTCCAGTTTCCATGCAGTTCAAATATTTGCAAATACTGACAAAGAACAATGTCTTAGTTCTGAATCTCGAGAAAAGACTATCTATTGACGACTTTTGTCATGTGGATGATCCAAAATGAAGTTAGAAAGTAAAAAGTGGCGCGATGATTGAGTGCTCTGCAGAAGGCTTTATTATGTTTGTAATTAGCAAGCGTTTTTTAAAAAGTCTGTTGCTTTAGTTCGCATGTCACTAACTTTGTCGAAGGACATGGCCAAAATGGGAGCAAACCAGCCACCTTTTACGATGATGATGCCTCCAGTTGGTATGTACCCCGCACCTTATGGCCCATACGGATGTCCTCCGATGTACCCTCCTTACGCTGCTACTCCCCACTTGGCGATGAATCAGTACTCATATGCGATGCCTGCAAACACAAATGTACACATACAACGCACTAACTATCCTCAGAATCCTTCATTAAACCAACAGCCGCAGCGGTTTCAACCCATGCCACTAGAAGTGAGCGAAGCGGATGTGATTTCTCTGAAGGAAACATTTCCAGAAATGGACCGTGAAGTAATCAAAGGGGTGCTAGAAAATGCGGGCGGGAACAGAGACAGGGCCGCAGACCTGTTGCTGCAAATGGGCTAACATGGAATGCAATTTTGAGATCATATCACAAATTATGAGCCGTTTTCGGAAAGCTGAACAGAATTGGACTGGGGACTTGAGTTTATCTTGCAGTTGAACTATTAATCGGATACTTCGTGCACGATAAATTAAGAAAAATGATCTATCAACCAATAACAAGAAGTCTTAGGTTAGCTTCACCATGTCTATGTAAGATGAGTTCTCCAAAAGGGTGTTTATGTTTGAGCAGGTTTATGTTTTGTCTAAAGATTTTGCCGGTGTCTTGGTCTAAAAAGCCTTTATAAGACCTGGTCGACAGCTTTAATTCCATCTGATTTTGACTCGTGACTGTTTTATTTGTTTCCGCTATAGTTTTAGATCAAAATGTAAATAAATAACCCGCTCAGTAGCATTTTATGCAAATGTCGTTTAAAAATTCTATTTTATCCAAATTTTGTTTAAATTAAAATTACCCTTTTGAGTTTTATAATGTGAACACGGCTATTTAATTACCCTGGCCATAAGCAAGTGTATTGCAAGCGGTTACTAGACTTTTTTCCCGTAAATAACTTTGTTCACAGAAAGGTCAATTTTAATAGGAATGGTAAATTTCACGACTGCTATCATCATTTAGGTAGTAATAACGGGAAGTTCGTTTCAGGTAATAGCTGTTTTTCAAATAAAACTCTTGAAAAAAGTTTTTTTTTCGTATTCGTGGTTTTCATCGTAGTTTCCGTTGGCTCATTTTCATTTTTTGAATGCAATTTGTTTTATCTGGTTCGTTTTGTTTGCTTACTTTCCAAAGAATAGATTTTTTTTATTTGAAGTTTTTACTATGATTGAAACTTCTGTAATTTGTGATTTTTTATGGAACGTTTTCGGCTGATGTTATTTCAGCCTAGTCAAGATGCGTAAATCCAAGGGTTAAATATATTTTTATGCGTTTATGTGTTTCATAGGAACTTTTTAGCTCAAAATTTTTTTTAAACAGTTTTTTTTTCACATCAGTTTCTTCTCTTTTTTACTGTTCTTTTTACTAATCTTGTCTTTAATATTGAAGCCTAGCATTTTTCAGGTTCGTTCCCAATTGGCCTAGAGGTAACGCTCTTGCCTTTGCATCCTAAGGTCTGGGGTTCGCGTCTCGAGCGGACCTTGTTTTTTTTTCAGTTTAAATAAAATTGAAAAAAAATAATAATTTAAAATTAAAATTGAATCGTTTGTCTGCTCAACTTTTGTCTGCAAAGTTGCCACATCACGGATTTTGCTTGTATTTTAAGCAACTTTCAATGCAAGTCAAAGTGTTGTTCATTCTAGTATCAGGGGGGAAGTTAATAGATTAATTTTTTTTCCATGAAACAATTTTTTTTACTCAATTGGTGTCTGCTCTAAGATGTCGGCTTGGCCGCTACATTACTGAGTTTTCTCCGGATTTTGCCTAGAGTGAATTTCTACCAAGTTATCGATAAATTTAAATTTTAGATAGTGTTTTTTAACTTTTTTTTTCACTTCTTATGTTTCTAATGATTTTTTGCATCGCAAGTAGTGCGAAGCTCCGCTTCGTCTCTGTGTCTATTTTGGTTTCCAATTTAGGATTAAATTTAAGAATTTTAGCCGTTCGGGGCAATTTTGTTGTTTAAATCAATTTTGGCGATAAGATACTACATAATAAATCTGCCGATACCATGCGATCATTTTTTATTAATCTATGGGTGTCTGAAAATTGTCAAAATGAGTCAACGCGCATTTGGTTTCCTGTTTTCAGGTTAGCAAATGGTTTAAGAAAAGCAGTTGAATCATTTATTAGCTTGCCTTATAAAAAGTTCTTACACACCTGGTCTAGAGATAAAGGTTACGACTAGGCTTGGGTTAACCTGTGGTTAAGGCCGGTGGAAATAGCGAAGTTCCTTAGCCGGGAGACGGATAAGCAGAACTAGCCAAACATGGGCTACAGAAAGAAAAACTAGGCCTTGGCCGGTAAAGGATCCAGATTCGAATTTGGCCAGGCCCTGTTTTTACACAGGAAATATAACGTTTCAAAAAAATGTTACCCTTTTGTTTGTCTGCTTGTGTTTTATCAGCTTAGTTGCCATTTAACGTTTTTTTTGTGCTCTAAGCAATTTTCATAGTAATTGAAAGTGTTTTTGATTTTTTTTTCCCTGTTATTTGTAAATGACCAAATCTGATTATTTTAGTTCATAATTTCGGTTTATATTCGACTTAATGGCCTATTTTTGCATCGAATGAAGAGAAAATAGATTTGTATCTTATTATGTGCTTCTGGAATGGTTGGGGTGCGTAGAGTTTAAAAATTTCTCAACTTTTTGTATACTTTCATGACAAAAATCTTGCTTTCACCTCAACGGGAGTATAGTCATATTTTGTCCTCTTAGTTGCCGATCGATTAGTGTTCTGAAGACTTATTTAACGCCGGCTATTGTGTTTATTGGCGTGTTTTCCTCAAATAGATCATTTTCCCGACAAAACATCTAGGTAATTGCTTGATAGCTTGCAATGCTTTAAATGGGTGGTATCATGAAGGGTGCGAATATCCGCTTTGAAAATATGAGTGTCTGTGCGTGTTATTGCTTCGGGGAACGAAAATATATATATATATATATATATATATATATATATATAGCGCAAAATTTTCACCATTTTTTTGGCTCAACGGACGTCTGCTCAAATGTGGTCTGCCTAGTCACCGCCTTGTATTTTTATTAGTTTTAATTCCACGCGGGGCATTATGCTTTGAAACTTGTTTTCCTCAAAGTTTTTTTTCATTACTCAAATTGATTTTTTTGATAAAACATTTTCTTGTCGAAAAACTATGGGCGTTTTGAAATAGTACAGAATGAAACAAATACATGCATTGGCGCATGATGGTTCCGCTCTGAGGCCGTTTACGGAGTTAGGTCGGGTACATGTATCAGTGAAGCCACTTTAAATGATTTTTAAAATCTTCAAACGCCTCGAAATAATATTAGTATACAGTAGCAAAAGCAGTCATTGAACAGCTTTTATCGAGTTTTTTTTTTTTAAATTAAGTTTAAGTTTTCGGGAAATTAGATTTGTATCGAAACAACCTGGTCGAATCAACGTGTCATTGCCTATTCTATTTTGTGGTCTGTTCTGAGAACTCATTACGTTATACGAAGTTTTTGAAGTTCCCGGAACTTATTTTCTGAATTCAGGATTTTTTCATGTTTAAAGGATTTTCTTTTAACGGTTTACACAGTGTCTTCCAGACAAATAAACGAAGAAGAAAGTTATTTCAGGTTCTATGATTTAGCCTGTAAAAATATGAGGCGCTGGGGTCCGCCCAATTCCTACAATAATGTGGACGACAAATGGTCTAGGCCGGGGCGCTCAGGGGGTAAAGAAGTACCTCCGCCGCCTCAACTGCTAGCCTCGGGGCCTATGCGTGGTCCCCACCCGAGTGGAGTGAACACGCTCGGACGGGGCTCGATTGGAGGGCGCAATACGAAGGGCTACAGTCTCGTGGAAAACGATAAGTTTCTGGCGACTGCGGTGGCTGCCTCTAATTGTAAATCAGTGCTGCCTACGAGGAAGAAGAAAGACTACTTTGACGAAGTGTGAATATCTGAATCGTCACTTACAGTTTTTAATGAAACTAATGGAAAATAAATGCTTAACCAGACAGACGAAAGGGGAAAAATAGCAGCTGTCATGCTGTAAAATATATTTGATTGGATGATTTGTTCTAAATTTAAGACTAACAATTATTTTTTTATAATCCACAACAATATCAATTATTTTGTGGTTCAGGAATCGGACGAAGATCTGCCCTACCAGCCGGCTCCTGACAGTCCCACAAGAACTGGGGCCGCTAACAGTGGATCCGATGACGAAGAAGATCCTCTGGACGCATTCATGAGTGGGATCGACAGTGAGGTGAAGAGGCAGGAAAAAGAGGACAAAAAGAAGGTAGCACAAGTCAGTGCAGATGGTAAAATTGAAGCGGAAGTTGTGATTTCTGGCGGGTCCGGTAAAGGACAGCAGCCACAGGCAGTGAGGACAGATTTAGAAGAGGAGGATGTGGAGGAGTCTTACTACAGGTATTTTCAAAAAGTTGAAATCAGTTATTATTATTTTTTGTAAACCTTTGAAGGTGCGATGCCGTTTGTACAATTTTTAAATACGTTTTGCCCTTTTTGCATCAGCTAAACACTCATTATTACACTTGCTAGAGCAAGTGTTCTGTAATCCGCAGCTAGACTTTTTTCCCGTAAACAGCATTTACACATTCTTCTATTAACTTATCGTCTTTTCTCTTAACGACTTCCAGTGACGCCGTCGCCTTTTCAGTAACGCCGTCGCGATTCCAGTAGCGCCGTCACTGATAGCGCCGTTGCTTTTGCACCCTAAAGTATAGGGTTCGAGTCTCGGCCGGACTTTTTTTTGCTTGTGCTGAAAGCAACTTTAATTGAGTTGCATATGCAAGTTTTGTTCATTCTAGTTTAAGGGGGACTTGAAAAGTCTATTTTTTCGACCGACTGATGTCAGATCAAAGGTTGTCGTCTTAGTTGCCACGTCACTGATTGTTTGTGCTGTAAGCACTTTTCATTTTTGCTGCAAGTGCAAGCGTTGTTTGTAATTTCAGTTGGGGTTTATACTTAACAATTTTTTTAAAATAAAATCAAAACTTTTCTCAACTCTCCTTGTGTCCACTCAAAGGTTGTCGGCTTTGTTTCCTCTTCATTTGCTTTGTTTCGTTGCTAATTACGCTTGCAATTAGCAAGCGTTATCAAACCGGAATATAGACTTTTTTCGGCTTAACAACTTGTTTAACAGAACCACTTGAATCACTTGGTACCTTGTTTCATAAATTCAAATTTCTAAGCGCATATTGCACACTTAGTCTGGAGGCAACTAATACGCCTGGTAGAGCAAAAGTCCTGGGTTCGAATCTGAGCAGGGCCTGTTTTTTCTTAAACGGGAAATATTCTGTTTCAAGTAAATTTGTCGGCCAATTATGTGTCTGCTTATCTTCTGTCGTCTTGTTTGTCACACCTTGGATTCGTTTTTTTTTCTAATGTTGCATTTTTAATGCTGCTTTCAGTGTTTAATTTACTCCTACAATTTGTACTTTTACTTTCCTTGACTTCATTTTTCTTTCTTTATTTTTTTATTTTGCTTTAAAAAAATAGTCGGCCCAAATTATTTCGACCTATTTTTTTTTACTTAATGATCAAAATTTGGATTGTTTCAAGGGAAACACGATTCCGCACCTCTCAAATTGGTTACTTGTTTACCAATCGGTTTGTTGAAATTTCTATTTTTTGTTATGGAAAATTATTTCCAAATATATTGGAAAAATTTCAGTTTTTCCCAGACATTTTTTCTGAGTTTCAAAAAAAGGGTATCAATTGAAAGACCGCCTACTTCCTTGTGTGCATGCATACTCCCCTGCAGTCTCTTTTCACTTAACCCATCTGTCTACGGCCTTCGAAAAAGTCTGCGGGGGAATACTTGACCTATACTTTTCATTTTTTTCGTTTTCTCGAAAACTACTCCTCTCAATTCTGAGTTTATGGTTTCATTGATAAGAACGGTTTACACATAAGTTTTTGGCCCTCGGAATAGTCAAAATTTTAATTTTTGACCGTTTTGTCAATCTTTGATTTTTCTCGAAAACTAGCCTCTCAAATCTGATATTGTTAGTACAATGGAGATAATGGGCTGTGGGAAGATCCCCTGTTTTAGCGGTCACTTACAAAGTTTTTAACACAAAAAGTTATCGCCCTCGGAAAATTCAAATTTTCGATTTAAAGGCCTTTTTTTAAACTTTAATAATCTCGAAAACTACCCTGACATATCAGAGATTTTGGGTTGAATTCAAAGAACGTGTTGTGGGAAGATCGTTTGCTCTGGCAAATACGCCCAAATTTTTCTGACACCAAAAGTTATAATAAGCTGATTTGCCTTATTTTTTCACACGAAAAACTATGATTCTCAGAAAGGACTCCCTAATTTTTGATTTGTTGACCTTTCGCTAACGATCCTGCCAAATCCAATATTATAGATTCAGACAAAACAACAGGTTGTTGAAAGCCTACCTGTATAATTGGCTATGAGCAGTTTGTTTGAAAAACGTTATGGCCTTCAAAGAAGTCAATGATTTGAAACTTTGACAGTTTTTTGGAAACTTCTTGACTTTATGCGAAAACTACCGTGCCAATTTTCAAGTTGTGTTCAATCGAGAAACTCGGCTTCGGGAATCTTCTCTACTAATGCGGTCAGAACTTGCTTTTTTCAGAAAAAAACTTATGAACTTTGCAAAGTCTTTTGACCGTTTGTTAAAACTTATGATCGTTTTTGAATTTTCTGAATTTTGAATTTTCTGAGATGAAAAGTTCAATTGGAAGAACCGGTTGCGATTATTGTTCCAGCAGAAGCGTCAACTCCTTATTTCTTTGTAAGAAAAATATTATCACCTTGTGAAAGTTGATTATCTCAAAAGTTTTTTTTTTACTCTTCTCAGTTATTTTAGTAGAAAAAACTAAGGTTTCAGGCCAAGGCTAACTTTGAAATCAAATTTTTGGTCTTGCTTCAGCAAAATCATTTTGTATCAAAGGCGTATATTCAGCTTTAGCTGGGCCACTATTTTTTGGTTAATTTAGTTTTTTTAACGTTTTATTTTTTTTCAAGTTACTTTTTTATGTTTGTGTTGTATCGCTTTGCCTCTGTGTTTATTATTTTAATGTCTGGCTTGTTTCTACCGAAACATGCGAAAAAATTATTCGGTTCGCCTCTGTGTTTAATATTCAAATGTCTGGCATGTTTCTATCGAGACAATTTTTTAGAAGACTTAGTTTTCATTTTTTTCGACCTCTATGAATTTTACGTTTGTTTTTATTGCAAGTGGTGCAAAACTCCGCTTCTTCTGTTTTGAAAATTGCAAGTATAATTTTAAAATGGGTCGTTATGCTGCTCGATATGATTTTCGCCTTAAAGGCCCTTTTTTCACTGAATTGTCTTGAGTAAAAAAAGTTTTGATATAACGTTTTTGCTTGCTTCTACTATAGCCATAGAAAACTGCAATATCATTCATAACGAACTGACCAAAATTTTCGCATTTTATATAGGTATATCTAACCCTTTGCCTTTCGCTCAAATTTAAATTTTTACTTCAGTTTTGTAATTGGGAACTATACTTTTCCCGTAAACAATTTTTTGTTTACAAATCTGTTATAAATCGAACTTTCTTTGTTATTGCCCTTGCGACAAGCAAGGATATTGCAATAGGATTCTTGACTTTTTTCCCGTAAATATTTTTGTTCACAGGACTCACCTCCTGGACTCACCTCCTGGACTCACTCATAGAATTCTTTTATAATAAATTCAAGTTCAATCAACCATCTGGCGTAGAGGAAACTCACCTGCTTTAGACTGCGATGTCTTTTGGTTTGAATTCGTTCAGGACCTGTTTTTTTTGCAAACTTTCATGCTTTTTTTGTGCTTTTTCGGACTACCGCCGGTCTGTTTTTTGTCCACTTAATTCCCAGAGCCCGAATTTTTTTTAAGGTCCATCTGTCTTCTAAATTGCTCTAAAACACATTCTTGAATGTTGCTCTAGCACCCATACTTGACAAAAAAGCCCGGGACTTCGATTCCAGTGGGCATCTGATGTTTTTGCGAAATGAAAATTTTTAGCTATATAAGGTTTTCGTCTGTCTGCTTATTTTTGCCGGCTTAGTTCTTACAGAACGAAACGATTTTTTGAAAATTGGGCTTCTTTCTATCTTTCTGAAAGCTCCTTGTAAAATTTCTAATGGTGCAGATAATTTTATTCGGGATCTTTTTTGGATTTTTTGCAATTTTCATAGCTTTTTATGCAAAAAATAAATTTTGAAGGTGTTTCAATGTTTGATTTTTCTTTTCATTTAATTTTAATTAATGACAGTCTTTCATTATTGTATCGGAAGTGGTTCATGCTTCTTCCTGCTTGGTATTGAGGCAAAAGAGTTGCCATTGCACCCTGAGGACTAGGTTCGTGTCCCGAGCGTACCTTTAATTGCAGTATGAATGAAATTGAATTTTTTTTCGGGGAAAAATTGAATAGTCAGACTTTGTTTTTCTGCTGTTTTTTTGACGGATTCATTTTTGAAATATGGATTTTTGAAATGAAGTAAACAATTTTAACTATAATTGAGTCGTCCTGTTTTTTCGTCAATTTACCAACTCTGGTTTCGAAAAAGTTTTTTTTTTTTAATTTATCGATTATATTGGTTCCGGTTTAGTTTTTATCACCTTATGTTTTTCTCGCCTTTTTTGTCGTTTGAAGGGCAAAAATGAATATCATGTTTAAAAAGAACTGAGGATGGCCGTGGTGTAAAAGTTGCAAAGTGTAAAACTGAAACGCTAGTTTTATGACAACAATTTTTTTGGCATTTTTTTTGTTTATGGCTAAGTGGGCGTCTACCCAAGTTTTATTGGCTTAGTGGCCGCTCGGTAATTGCTACTTCAATCCTTTTTATAGCTGGTAGTTGCGTTTCTCTATATTTTTTCTTAAGTTGAGTTTTTCTTTCAATTAGTATTTTTAAGTTGTTTTAGACATACTGATTTCCGCCTAACTTTCTATTCGCTAGCTTGCAATTGCTGATGCTATGTTTTGAATTAGATATATGCAAGAGAATCCGACGGCCGGACTGTTGCCAGGGGAGGATTTACCGGAAATAGAATACGACGAGGAGGGCAACCCGATCATAGAGAAGAAGAAACACATTGATCCTTTGCCTCCCTTAGACCACAAGCAGATTGAATACAGTCCCTTTGAGAGATACTTCTACAATGAGCACCCGGAGATCGCAGGTTATCATAACTAGTTATGATTGAGTTAAGTAGTTGATTGAAACGATGCGTTGTCATTGGACCTGCAATTGAGTTTCAAAGAATTTATGAACGATCAAAAGAATGAGTTTCATAAGTTCAGGCAAATGTCTCAATCATCTTTGACAATCTCTAGGCAAATGTCGTCTCCTTGTTTCCGACTGTAAAGTTCAGGCTTAGGTTCTAGAAACTGTGATCTTGTGAAAACTTCGAGTAATTCATAATCCGTGCTTTTCAGGTCTTTCTAACAGAGAAGGGAAATCACTGCGCTTCAAACTGGGAATAAACGCCTCAGGCACTTTTGTCCCCAATCCAGTCTGCAGTTTCGCGCACTTTGGATTCGACGAACGTCTTTTGTCGGTGATCCGTAAGAGTGAATACACCCAACCCACGCCCATTCAGGCTCAGGCTATTCCGGTGGCTCTGAGCGGCCGAGATCTGATCGGAATTGCGAAAACGGGCAGTGGGAAAACTGCGGCTTACCTGTGGCCAATGATTGTTCACATTATGGCTCAGCCTCAATTAAGAAAATTAGACGGACCAATCGGTAAGTTAGGCTATGAACCAGTCAATTAAGATAAAATTAAATTTACGACAAACATTTGATTATTTTACCTAAAGTTCTATTTAAATAAAATGTTTGCCAGATATTTTGAATCTTTTATTACATAAATTTTTAAGATTCCATGCTCTTCATTTAAATTGGATTTGAGATGCTATTTTGAATTGTCTTAGGCCTAATCTGCGCTCCAACCCGTGAGTTGTCCCTCCAGATATACTCAGAAGCGAAGAAGTTCGGCAAAGCCTTTGGCCTGCGTGTTGTGTGTGCATATGGAGGTGGCAACAAATACGAGCAGTGCAAAGCATTGAACGAAGGAGCTGAGATTGTTGTGTGTACTCCTGGACGACTGATAGACTGCATAAAAGCTAGTGCAACCAACCTCAAACGAGTGACGCTTCTGGTATTTGACGAGGCAGACCGTATGTTTGACCTTGGCTTTGGACCCCAAGTGAGGTCGATAGCTGGTCACGTCAGACCGGACAGACAGGCGTTGATGTTCAGTGCTACCTTTAAGCCCAAAGTGGAGAATTTGGCCAAAGTGGTTCTGAATAACCCTGTGCGAATAGTGCAAGGCGAAGTGGGAGATGCGAACGAAGGTGGGTACAAATTGGTAGCTTCACTTATTGATAGCTGATGCGTAGCTTTGACCTTCGAGTGCAACTTGAGGTTGAAAAAACGTTGACATAGAAACTGTGCCAGCCACATTGATTTTTTAAGGATTTTCAACACCGTATGATTGCGGCGATTTTATGTCTTTTTACGCAGAAGGCGAGTTTTGAAGAAAATTCGATGTTTGGGACCTTTGGTATGTTTTGATTGCTCAATAGGCAAAACCTGAGCAAACTTTTTATACAGGTGTTCAAAAAATGTACAGAAAAAAGTGTATAAAATATGAACTGTTTATATATCAATCTCTCAGTAGCTAGCACTTTGTTCTGAGTTATACTCTGGCTTGCTTTCAGACGTGACACAGCACGTGAAGGTATTCAGCAGCAAGGAGGAGAGATTCAAGTGGCTCTCATCCTGCATAGTGTCTTTCCTCGCCTCTGGACAAGTGCTGGTTTTCTCCACCAGAAAGGCAGACGCGGAGGATTTGGCCGCCCAACTGAAGAGGAGGGACTTCGATTGTGTGTTGTTGCATGGAGATATGCACCAGGTTAGCCTCAATTTTTCTCCAAAACTCTCTAAAAATGAGCGAATACTGTGATTACGGATTTAATTTTCCAAATGAAAATGTGTGTTCTAATCTCTATATCATATAAATGTCCACCATACTTGAGTTTTTCAGTTTCAATTTGACTGGACGAGTTAACTATCCAAATGAAAGGAGCTAAAACAACTCAAAGCCAAATTATTCTGATAATGTCATGTTTTTTTTTCAGTACGACAGAACAGAGATGATCACCAAATTCAAGCAGGGTCATTGTCGCCTCATGGTAGCCACAGATGTGGCAGCCAGAGGTCTGGACATCCCCAGCATCAAGACTGTAGTGAACTTCGACCCAGCGAGAGACATGGACACGCATGTGCATAGAGTGGGAAGAACGGGCAGGGCGGGCGAGAAGGGCGATGCTTACACTCTGCTGCAGAAGCCTCAGGATGCATTTTTCGCTTCACAACTAGGTGAGTTGCTGACTTACAGAAAATGTTTGATTTTTATTATGAGCGATTGGTTTGTACGACTCGCGATGGACTTGAATGGCTTGACTGTGCTTGTTGAATGGCTCCTAAATGAAACATTATACTTGATTCCAGTGCAATCATTGGAGGCCTCGCATCAGATAGTGCCTCAGGAGCTGATCGACCTGGCGATGTTTTCCTCCAAATTCAGAAAGGGAGAGGGAGACAAAGGCTTCAACGCTCAGAAGTTGCATCTTGGTCTAGGATATGCAACGTCATCTAGCTCCTCTAAGCCGTCTTCGAGGTTCTCCCAGGATAATGATCCATCCTCTTCTGGACAGACTGTTGCATCTGCGAGGGCAGCATTGAATCAAAAAGGTTAGGAAATACCGGAAATCAACACAAGTTTAAGGGCTGGCTAACACTGCTAATTGTTCCAAGAACAAGTCTGCTGTAAACTCGACTTGTGACATTATAGAATGAATTTCTCCGATAAGCGTTTTTGATAAATGATGAGCAGTCCGAATACTGATAAATGGTTTAGATATAGTCTTTAGTTGTCGGACTTCACTGTTTTGTTTATCCTGCCATTGCTTGGCATAAAATAATTCTGTTCCGTTAGTCATACGAAGCTTCATTTGACCTTCATGAAAGGTTTTTAAGCTGCTAAATGTTAAACTTAAACAAGCAGTGTGTATAGGTATACCAATGATATAGCTTGAATGTTCATTTTAGTTTCACCATCTGCCGGAATTCTTGGAAGCGCTGGACCCAGAGGCCCACAGTCGGGTCGAATGTCAATGATGAGATCCCAGTTTTCGAAACAATTCCAGTCTAGCTTCCGATCAGCTTCTTCCGAAGATGCGGAATCTACGAGCACCATCCAGAACACTCCTCCAACGCCTCCAGAAGAAACTCGATCCAGATCGCATAAACGTGAAAGTCGCTGGAACAACGAACAGACCGATTACTACAATCAACCTAAAAGTTCTAAGCCGAATTATTATAACCCAGAACCTCCTGACTGCAGCTCAACTCCCAGAAAAGATAATCAAGAATCATCTATGAGCCGATTCCAACCTGATAACCTCAAATATAACGATTCAAAGGAAACCTCTAACTGTAAAGACGATGATTCGAAGTTTAAAGTTCCATCTTTGCCCTTACCATCGACAGTTTCTCAGACTAATAATGGGTCGCAGAATTATTCTGAAATGAACTCGTCAACTGTAGACTCAAAACCACCTCCTAAGAAGAAAAGTAGATGGGATGTTTGCTGACTTTTTTTGTAATTCGTGATATCTAAAAGCCTTTGATTTGACCTTGGACTTGCAGTTTTATGTATTTCTTGTTTCTAAAGCAGTAATTCACTAAGTTTTGAATTTATGAGTCTTCAAATAACTTATCTATTTTCATTAATTGTTTTTTTTTTTTTAATTCTTTGACTACTCTTTTACTGTGCATTTGAGTGTCATTTTCGTCAGTCATAAAATTTTTTTTTTTGAAGTTTTTGATTCCTAAGATGAAGCTAAAACTTCAAAAACTAACTTCATTTGAGTAAAACTAAGTTTTCAAGGCTTAAATTAAGCATAAATAAGCTAATGTCAGCCTGCTCACTCGCTCGAAATTAGACGTGAAATCAAAAATTTCAAATCGGTTTTTCTCGACCTCAGGAAAATAATTTTAAAATTTTTTGATGTCGTTCGAATCACGACTGAAAGGGCTTTAATATGATATATTTCTCAACCCTGTCCAATGATATTTGTGGTAGCTAATTTTGCGTGGAAAACAAAACTGAAACGCCCGAATACTAAAGTCTTGCACATTTTTAATGGTCGATTTTCAATGGTCGGATCAATTAGCTACAAAATAAGTTAGCAAAATAAGTAATTCAAGGAATAGAAATTGGCACAGTTGCACAAATCTTCAGTGGCGCAATTATGAATAGCAGTCAACTGTAAAACTTGAATTTCCGAGGACAGATTCTGAAGGTATCTTTTTTCAATCTTTTTTCTCTATTGACCGTTTTAAGGATACTTTTTGGTGTTTTACACTTTTTGTGTTCGCGAAATGCCGTTTCGTCTGTGTCTGATTTTTTCAGTTTTTCTAACCAACGCGATTGACTTAGACGAAAAGCTCAAAATAGTGCGTTAACATAACGTTAAATTTTAGCGTTGAATTTCTGGTGGAGGTTGGTCATTGAACAGCGATGTTAGCCTTTCCTCACATTTCGTCTAATTTTGTCTAAAAACTAAAAAAAGACTAGTTTTTCTCGACAGTGATCGAACCTTTCAATTTTTGTGATATCAAACCAAGTCCAATAGGGCTTTAATATCAGTGATTGGTATCAATTGCGAGACAAGTTTTTCTTTAAATTCAGTACTATTTCATTTTTTCTCATAGTGAGTGAAGTTTCTACAGTTCATTTGGTACAACCCGAAAGTCTCACAAGTTCAATTCTGGTCTATAGGCTTCGGCCTCTATCGACCAGCTCTTTCGTCGACGTCCATTTTGTCATTCCAAAAACGATGCGTCGTACATTTCGGACGCCCATAGTTTGTCAAGTCTTGCTTTGAATATGTTGACGTTCTCGCTCGATATTATTCTTTCAGGCAATGAGTTCCAGTCGTTAATGGCTGCGATAGTGAAGAAGTTTTGTCTTGCTGTTGTTTTGGTTTTCATCGTTAAAATTTTGTACGGGTTTCCTCGGGTGTCTCTTTCATTGATCGTAAACAGTCCGTCCGTTGCTGCGGCATCGTACATTCCATTCAAAATTTTGAAGACTTCTATCATTCTTCCGCGCTTCCTTCTATACTCCAGCGTTGGCAGTTTCAGAGCTTTCAGTCTTTCCGGGTAACTAAATTTTTGTATGTTTGCGACCAGTCTTGTCGCCCGCCATTGGACGTTCTCAATCATGATCTTGTCCTTTTTCAGGTATGGGTTCCAACACTGATTTGCGTATTCCAGGTGCGTTCTCACTAGGGCTTTATATAGGGTTGTTAGTACCTCAGCGTTAAGATAGATGAAGCTTTTCCGTATTATCGCGACCATGCCGTTGGCCATCCTTGTTTTCTTGGCAATGTGCTCACGGAATAGTAGTCTCGAGTCAACTATAACCCCTAAGTCTTTCTCGTTTTGAACATTACTAAGGTATGTATTCCCATCCAAGGTGTAATTTCGTTCCGCTAGTTTTACCCTTCCCGTTAACGTGAGCGTATGGCATTTTGTCATGTTGAACTTCATAAGGCTACCATCAGCCCATTTCGAAATTACATTCAGATCATTTTGCAGTTCTTCATCTTCACCTAAAGCTGTGACTGATCTGTAGATTTTCGCATCATCTGCGTAGAGGAGCATTTGGGATGTGATTCCATCCCCCATCGAGTTTATGTATATTAAGAACAGAATTGGTCCCAGTACAGACCCTTGTGGGACTCCTCTGATGACGGGTGCCCATTCCGAAAAACTTTCGTTGACCACCACTCTTTGTTTTCTTTCTGTTAAGAATGAGGTAATCCATTCGAGTTTTTCCTCTGATCCCGTATCTCGAAATTGTGTTTAGTAGTCTTTTGTGGGGTACACTATCAAAGGCTTTTTGGAAGTCAATGTAGATGATATCTACCTCGTTACCTCTGTCCAGTTCTGCTGTTCAGTCGTCAAGTGCTCTCAGTAACTGTAGGGTCGTTGATCGCCCTGGTAAAAACCCGAATTGCTTGTCTGATATGATATTGTTGTTTTCTAAAAATCAAACAGGTGACGTCTGATCATTTTTTCCATAATTTTACAACAAATGGATGTCACGCTAATAGGTCTCTAATTGTTAGGATCACTTTTTGCGTCCTTCTTGTGAATTGCTGTTATATTTGCGCATTTCCAATCTTCTGGTATTTCACCTTTCTCCCAAGAACTTTGCATTAAACCACTCATCATTTCAGCTATTTCGTATCGGGATACTCAGAAGCGAAGAAGTTCGGCAAAGCCTTTGGCCTGCGTGTTGTGTGCGCTTATGGAGGTGGCAACAAATACGAGCAGTGCAAAGCATTGAACGAAGGAGCTGAGATTGTTGTGTGTACTCCTGGACGACTGATCGACTGCATCAAAGCTAGTGCAACTAACCTCAAACGAGTGACGCTGCTGGTATTTGACGAGGCAGACCGTATGTTTGACCTTGGCTTTGGACCCCAAGTGAGGTCGATAGCTGGTCACGTCAGACCGGACAGACAGGCGTTGATGTTCAGTGCGACCTTTAAGCCCAAAGTGGAGAATTTGGCCAAAGTGGTTCTGAATAACCCTGTGCGAATAGTGCAAGGCGAAGTGGGAGATGCGAACGAAGGTGGGTACAAATTGGTAGCTTCACTTATTGATAGCTGATGCGTAGCTTTGACCTTCGAGTGCAACTTGAGGTTGAAAAAACGTTGACATAGAAACTGTGCCAGCCACATTGATTTTTAAAGGATTTTCAACACCGTATGATTGCGGCGATTTTATTTCTTTTTATGCAGAAGGCGAGTTTTGAAGAAAATTCGATGTTTGGGACCTTTGGTATGTTTTGATTGCTCAGTAGGCAAAACCTGAGCAAACTTTTTATACAGGTGTTCAAAAAATGTACAGAAAAAAGTGTATAAAATATGAACTGTTTATATATCAATCTCTCAGTAGCTAGCACTTTGTTCTGAGTTATACTCTGGCTTGCTTTCAGACGTGACACAGCACGTGAAGGTATTCAGCAGCAAGGAGGAGAGATTCAAGTGGCTCTCATCCTGCATAGTGTCTTTCCTCGCCTCTGGACAAGTGCTGGTTTTCTCCACCAGAAAGGCAGACGCGGAGGATTTGGCCGCCCAACTGAAGAGGAGGGACTTCGATTGTGTGTTGTTGCATGGAGATATGCACCAGGTTAGCCTCAATTTTTCTCCAAAACTCTCTAAAATGAGCGAATACTGTGATTACGGATTTAATTTTCCAAATGAAAATGTGTGTTCTAATCTCTATATCATATAAATGTCCACCATACTTGAGTTTTTCAATTTCAATTTGACTGGACGAGTTAACTATCCAAATGAAAGGAGCTAAAACAACTCAAAGCCAAATTATTCTGATAATGTCATGTTTTTTTTCAGTACGACAGAACAGAGATGATCACCAAATTCAAGCAGGGTCATTGTCGCCTCATGGTAGCCACAGATGTGGCAGCCAGAGGTCTGGACATCCCCAGCATCAAGACTGTAGTGAACTTCGACCCAGCGAGAGACATGGACACCCATGTGCATAGAGTGGGAAGAACGGGCAGGGCGGGCGAGAAGGGCGATGCTTACACTCTGCTGCAGAAGTCTCAGGATGCATTTTTCGCTTCACAACTAGGTGAGTTGCTGACTTACAGAAAATGTTTGATTTTTATTATGAGCGATTGGTTTGTACGACTCGCGATGGACTTGAATGGCTTGACTGTGCTTGTTGAATGGCTCCTAAATGAAACATTATACTTGATTCCAGTGCAATCATTGGAGGCCTCGCATCAGATAGTGCCTCAGGAGCTGATCGACCTGGCGATGTTTTCCTCCAAATTCAGAAAGGGAGAGGGAGACAAAGGCTTCAACGCTCAGAAGTTGCATCTTGGTCTAGGATATGCAACGTCATCTAGCTCCTCTAAGCCGTCTTCGAGGTTCTCCCAGGATAATGATCCATCCTCTTCTGGACAGACTGTTGCATCTGCGAGGGCAGCATTGAATCAAAAAGGTTAGGAAATACCGGAAATCAACACAAGTTTAAGGGCTGGCTAACACTGCTAATTGTTCCAAGAACAAGTGTGCTGTAAACTCGACTTGTGACATTATAGAATGAATTTCTCCGATAAGCGTTTTTGATAAATGATGAGCAGTCCGAATACTGATAAATGGTTTAGATATAGTCTTTAGTTGTCGGACTTCACTGTTTTGTTTATCCTGCCATTGCTTGGCATAAAATAATTCTGTTCCGTTAGTCATACGAAGCTTCATTTGACCTTCATGAAAGGTTTTTAAGCTGCTAAATGTTAAACTTAAACAAGCAGTGTGTATAGGTATACCAATGATATAGCTTGAATGTTCATTTTAGTTTCACCATCTGCCGGAATTCTTGGAAGCGCTGGACCCAGAGGCCCACAGTCGGGTCGAATGTCAATGATGAGATCCCAGTTTTCGAAACAATTCCAGTCTAGCTTCCGATCAGCTTCTTCCGAAGATGCGGAATCTACGAGCACCATCCAGAACACTCCTCCAACGCCTCCAGAAGAAACTCGATCCAGATCGCATAAACGTGAAAGTCGCTGGAACAACGAACAGACCGATTACTACAATCAACCTAAAAGTTCTAAGCCGAATTATTATAACCCAGAACCTCCTGACTGCAGCTCAACTCCCAGAAAAGATAATCAAGAATCATCTATGACCCGATTCCAACCTGATAACCTCAAATATAACGATTCAAAGGAAACCTCTAACTGTAAAGACGATGATTCGAAGTTTAAAGTTCCATCTTTGCCCTTACCATCGACAGTTTCTCAGACTAATAATGGGTCGCAGAATTATTCTGAAATGAACTCGTCAACTGTAGACTCAAAACCACCTCCTAAGAAGAAAAGTAGATGGGATGTTTGCTGACTTTTTTGTAATTCGTGATATCTAAAAGCCTTTGATTTGACCTTGGACTTGCAGTTTTATGTATTTCTTGTTTCTAAAGCAGTAATTCACTAAGTTTTGAATTTATGAGTTATGAGTCTTCAAATAACTTATCTATTTTCATTAATTGTTTTTTTTTTAATTCTTTGACTACTCTTTTACTGTGCATTTGAGTGTCATTTTCGTCAGTCATAAAAATTTTTTTTTTGAAGTTTTTGATTCCTAAGATGAAGCTGAAACTTCAAAAACTAACTTCATTTGAGTAAAACTAAGTTTTCAAGGCTTAAATTAAGCATAAATAAGCTAATGTCAGCCTGCTCACTCGCTCGAAATTAGACGTGAAATCAAAAATTTTAAATCGGTTTTTCTCGACCTCAGGAAAATAATTTTGAAATTTTTTGATGTCGTTCGAATCACGACTGAAAGGGCTTTAATATGATATATTTCTCAACCCTGTCCAATGATATTTGTGGTAGCTAATTTTGCGTGGAAAACAAAACTGAAACGCCCGAATACTAAAGTCTTGCACATTTTTAATGGTCGATTTTCAATGGTCGGATCAATTAGCTACAAAATAAGTTAGCAAAATAAGTAATTCAAGGAATAGAAATTGGCACAGTTGCACAAATCTTCAGTGGCGCAATTATGAATAGCAGTCAACTGTAAAACTTGAATTTCCGAGGACAGATTCTGAAGGTATCTTTTTTCAATCTTTTTTCTCTATTGACCGTTTTAAGGATACTTTTTGGTGTTTTACACTTTTTGTGTTCGCGAAATGCCGTTTCGTCTGTGTCTGATTTTTTCAGTTTTTCTAACCAACGCGATTGACTTAGACGAAAAGCTCAAAATAGTGCGTTAACATAACGTTAAATTTTAGCGTTGAATTTCTGGTGGAGGTTGGTCATTGAACAGCGATGTTAGCCTTTCCTCACATTTCGTCTAATTTTGTCTAAAAACTAAAAAAAGACTAGTTTTTCTCGACAGTGATCGAACCTTTCAATTTTTGTGATATCAAACCAAGTCCAATAGGGCTTTAATATCAGTGATTGGTATCAATTGCGAGACAAGTTTTTCTTTAAATTCAGTACTATTTCATTTTTTCTCATAGTGAGTGAAGTTTCTACAGTTCATTTGGTACAACCCGAAAGTCTCACAAGTTCAATTCTGGTCTATAGGCTTCGGCCTCTATCGACCAGCTCTTTCGTCGACGTCCATTTTGTCATTCCAAAAACGATGCGTCGTACATTTCGGACGCCCATAGTTTGTCAAGTCTTGCTTTGAATATGTTGACGTTCTCGCTCGATATTATTCTTTCAGGCAATGAGTTCCAGTCGTTAATGGCTGCGATAGTGAAGAAGTTTTGTCTTGCTGTTGTTTTGGTTTTCATCGTTAAAATTTTGTACGGGTTTCCTCGGGTGTCTCTTTCATTGATCGTAAACAGTCCGTCCGTTGCTGCGGCATCGTACATTCCATTCAAAATTTTGAAGACTTCTATCATTCTTCCGCGCTTCCTTCTATACTCCAGCGTTGGCAGTTTCAGAGCTTTCAGTCTTTCCGGGTAACTAAATTTTTGTATGTTTGCGACCAGTCTTGTCGCCCGCCATTGAACGTTCTCAATCATGATCTTGTCCTTTTTCAGGTATGGGTTCCAACACTGATTTGCGTATTCCAGGTGCGTTCTCACTAGGGCTTTATATAGGGTTGTTAGTACCTCAGCGTTAAGATAGATGAAGCTTTTCCGTATTATCGCGACCATGCCGTTGGCCATCCTTGTTTTCTTGGCAATGTGCTCACGGAATAGTAGTCTCGAGTCAACTATAACCCCTAAGTCTTTCTCGTTTTGAACATTACTAAGGTATGTATTCCCATCCAAGGTGTAATTTCGTTCCGCTAGTTTTACCCTTCCCGTTAACGTGAGCGTATGGCATTTTGTCATGTTGAACTTCATAAGGCTACCATCAGCCCATTTCGAAATTACATTCAGATCATTTTGCAGTTCTTCATCTTCACCTAAAGCTGTGACTGATCTGTAGATTTTCGCATCATCTGCGTAGAGGAGCATTTGGGATGTGATTCCATCCCCCATCGAGTTTATGTATATTAAGAACAGAATTGGTCCCAGTACAGACCCTTGTGGGACTCCTCTGATGACGGGTGCCCATTCCGAAAAACTTTCGTTGACCACCACTCTTTGTTTTCTTTCTGTTAAGAATGAGGTAATCCATTCGAGTTTTTCCTCTGATCCCGTATCTCGAAATTGTGTTTAGTAGTCTTTTGTGGGGTACACTATCAAAGGCTTTTTGGAAGTCAATGTAGATGATATCTACCTCGTTACCTCTGTCCAGTTCTGCTGTTCAGTCGTCAAGTGCTCTCAGTAACTGTAGGGTCGTTGATCGCCCTGGTAAAAACCCGAATTGCTTGTCTGATATGATATTGTTGTTTTCTAAAAATCAAACAGGTGACGTCTGATCATTTTTTCCATAATTTTACAACAAATGGATGTCACGCTAATAGGTCTCTAATTGTTAGGATCACTTTTTGCGTCCTTCTTGTGAATTGCTGTTATATTTGCGCATTTCCAATCTTCTGGTATTTCACCTTTCTCCCAAGAACTTTGCATTAAACCACTCATCATTTCAGCTATTTCGTATCGGGATTCTCGCAATACCCGAGGGTGTACGTTATCTGACCCCGTTGATTTCGTAGTGTCTAGCGCATTGAGTTCATTTAGGATTGTCTCTTTGGAGATAAAGAGGTCATCAGATAATTGATTTTCTTGGTAATCCACTACTTCCCGGCTGCCTGGTGTTTCAATCGTGAATACAGAACTGAAAAAGTTGACAAGAGTATCAGCTTTATCTTTGTCGGTCATGGCCCACTTGTTTGGTCCAATTTTGAGAGCCGGTATTATTTCGGTTGTTTTAATTTTCTTATTCACGTAGTTCCAGAACTTTTTAGGTTGGTGTTTGATGCTTTTGGATACATCTTCTTCGTGCTTTCGAACACATTGTCGTGTCAATTTCCTGACTTTGTTTCGAGCCGATGTGTAGTTTTCATAGTTTCTTTGCGACTTCTCTTTCTTGAAATCTTTCCAAGTTTTATGTTTATCTCGAAGTACATCTCTTACTTCGGAGCTCATTGGCAATTTGTGTTGCTTTATCCGGATTTTCATTTTAGGTATAAATTTCTTGGTGGCAGAATCAAGAGTACTTTTGAATTTATTCCAATTTTGGTCAAGGGTTAGCAAACCTTCGTAAATAAGATTATTTTTTAAGTCAGACCTGAGTTCATCGTAGCTTCCTTTATTGTAATTTAGCCTCTCTTTGGAGCGCCTTGTTGTCCAAAGGTTGAATTTTGCGTGTAACAGTGTGTGGTCACCTTTCCCCAGTGGAGAGATGTATTCAATGGAAGATGGTTCTAAGGTTTTATCAGTTAATAAGAGGTCTAGGAGTGACGGTTCATTATGTTTGGTCACGCGTGTTGGTCTGTCAACATGTTGGTCGAGATAAGAATCTCTGACCGCCTCAATGAAATGGTGTTCTTTGCTGTTTTCGTCGTGATTCGTGCTCAAATATTTCCAGTCTATATCTCGGAAGTTCATGTCTCCCAGCACAATGTATCTAGATCGACTTGATCCTATTTTTCTTAAAAAATTGTTGAGGTTGGAGTTGTTTTCGTGAGTTGATGATGGGCTCCGATATGTCGAGGCGATGACAACTTCTACCTCCGTTAAAATCAAGTTAAACACTTGCAGTTCCTCGAATCCAGAGTCATCGTCTGTTTCTTTATATTGGATGTTTTTACGAATGTAAAGTAGCATGCCTCTGCCTTTTTCATTCGGATTCATGTTTTTGTGTTTTAAGTTGTAGCAATCAAGTTTGTGCCAAATTGGGTTCCATATGTTTACAGAATTCTTAGGTTTAGCTTCTGTAAGAGCAATAACGTGCGGTAACAGGTTTGTTTGATGTATTAGCGTTTGTAACTCTATGAACTTTTCAGGGTTTAGGGTGTCTACATTCCCGAACCAGAGCTCAAAAAGTTCTCTGTTTCCGGCGTTGTTCTTTGCATCATTGTTATCTCCCTTTTCTTTACTCTGATTATCTTGTTCCCTCTGACAATGTGAATGAAGTTGCCGGGTTCCTCTGCTGTTAAGTTTTTTGCTCGCTGCACTAGGAAGCGGACATTTTCCCTCTCTTTCATGCTCCTGTCTGGAGTGATTCTCAGGTGTTTTAGCTCATCCTTGGCATACTTCAATTTTGTCAGATTTTTCATCATGTGTTCAGCATCATCCTGTGTTTCCAGTGTGATTCTCAATGGTCTTGGCCTCGTTTCGTTTTCGTGGTCCTCATATAATTTGCCAAGTCTAGTGCAATTTTTAACTATTATTGGTTCAATTTCTATGCTTGCGCATAGCTCACGGATTAATGACATGTCTTCATTCTGTCGCAGTTTCGGTTCGGTTGATTTACTTTCCGGTGCTTTGTGTATGATTAGATTTCGTTTTCTTCTTAAATCTTCTTCCTCTTCTCTTTTTTGCTCAGCTCCAGCTTCAAGGATTATGTCTTTCAGAGGTTTAGTGACATTTAGTTCTATCTTCCAGGGATTTGCATTCGATCCCATTGTTGGCTGTGCTTTGTTTTTTGTTCCATTCATGAAGTAATAAAAATCCTCCATTAGAGTTTTCACAGAATCAACAGTTTTATCCAGATCGGTCCTCATTTTGGATATGTCCTGATGTGTTTTTGGAGTCGCTGCGTCTTTCATTAGGTTCTTTACATCCTCTGTACAATTGTCGCAGCACCATATTCTTTTAGATTTCGACATGTAATCATAAACTGCCGTTGGCATTTTCAAACATTTTGCACAAATGTTTTGCACAGTTATCGCACTCCAATACTTGATCCAAGGGATCTCCGTAGTTTTTTCTACAGGTTACACACGTCCAGGCCTCATCAACCTGTGATTTATTTGTGTTTTTCTGTGTACGGTTACTCATTTTTAAAGACTTCACCTAGGCCGCTCCAGAACAACTTAGTTCCAGGTAGCTACCAGAGTAAAATCTATAAAAAAAAAGAGTTTCTAACCTTACTGTTTCTTGCTTTTCTTATTCTTCTTCTTGTTCTTCTTTTGTTTTTGAGACCTGCTTCTTTTCGTGTTCGTTCTATCGCTTCTTTTATTCGACTTTCTTTTTCTAAATAGGGGTCTTTACTTCTTCACAAGGGACTCGAGGTTTATAAATCGTTTTAATATGGTTTCAAGGAACTTTATTTCCAATATAGTTGAGGGGTGGATTTTCTGGAGGTTGGATTGGTACCACCACTCGTTTTGTTTCCTTCTGGAGATTAGCTTTTTTCCGGCTGGTATTACGAGAATGTCCAGCTTTCGTAGATCCTCGAAGATATTTCTCGTGCCTTCCCTTTGGCAATATATAATTGCCTTGATTCTCCAACTATGCTTTCTGAGTGTTTTGATTAGGTTCGGGACTGTTTCTGCTTTCTTGTTGTTGAGTCGATGTTTGGTGATCGTGTTATTCAGCACGTCGTGCCAAAGGATTATCTCTTTTTTGTTCCTGAGTGATCCCTTTTCCAGGAGAAAGTCGAGATTCAGGACGTTATGGATTGATTTGGGATTGAGACTCAGTCCTTTCGTTGCAAAACTGATTCGGGACAATACTCTCTTCAATTTATTCGAGGCTACTTCGGTTGAGGCTTTGAGGGAACTGGCTCCAATTATATACACCATTAACAATCTTCACCCACGAAGCTAGAGGCGTGGGGCTTGTTAATAGTGTATCGATTCAGTCCTCTAGCTCAGATTATCTGAAATTACACGGTTTGTGAATTTGAAATGGACAAGCTATTTTATAAGTTTATCACAACAATTAGGCTAAATAACAATTTTTGGAAATAACAATTGTTGACATCAGAAAGTTTGAGCTGTATGGAGTTCTAAAGTGGCTTGCAATCAGACGCGGATCTAATATTTTCTCGAAGAGGCGGATTTTTGGAAATCAATTACATCAGGAAAATATTAGATCCGTGGCTGATTGCAAGCGTCGTTTTCTTAGTGTCGTTTTTTTCTGCTTGATTTGATAAAAAAGATTCGAACGAAAAACTCGAGTCTAGGCATATTTGACAGTCATAGTATAAAATGCAATTTTTTCAACAGTTTTTCGAGAAAGCTGACCAGAAAACCCCAAAAAAAAAATGAAATTTTTGCGGACGTTTGAAATTTTGGATTCCCAATGGGCGCTGAAAAAGTCTGAAAACTTCTTCAACTTGAGTAAAACTAAGTTTTCACTGTGTAAATTTAGCTGAAATATGCTATTGTACGCCTGCTCGCTTGCTTTATCCACTCGAAATTAGACTAAAAATCAGAAATGTTAAAAAATGTTTTTCTCGATACAAGGACAACTTTTTGAAAATTTCTTAATCTCATTTGAATCACGATTGACAGGGCGTCAATTTGATATGTCACTCGATCCATTCCGGTGATTTTTTTTCTGTTCCTGATTTTGGTTCCTGAACTTTAGAGCTTTCATATGATATAACCCTCAACTTTCTCCGAGAATTGTTTGTGGTAGCTGATTTGGCGTGGAAAACAAAAAAAGAAAGAAAAACTAAAACACCCCCGAATACAAAGTTCCTCCGCATTTTCAATGGGCGGAACAAAAAGCAGTCCAAAAAAACTTTTTCACGACCGTTTTGGATCAAAATTGGTGTAATTTTTTGGCCCTTGCTCATTCTTCAAGTTTCAGCGCTCGCTCTTTGGTGCAATTTGGCATCTTCAAAAAGTTTTAGGGTTAGTCCTTCAAAAATGATTTTGTCAAATAACCCGTTGGGTTGTCAGGGTCGAATCCCTGTAAAAGCGGTGTCTGTGCCCCCCTCCCCCATTAAATCCGGTACTGTCTGAAATGATAGAAAAGCTTTAAGTGTTAGTGAACGAATTGAAGAAATTTTTGTCCCGATCACTTAAATGGGGGAGGAAAAAGTTATCGGGTGTTTAGGTTTTTTACTTTTACAGATACTGCACATAATCATTATAATTGGTCGAGTGATATCTCATATTAAAGTGTTTCAAGTCGATTAAGTAATTTTTTGATGCAAAATGTTGCTTAAGTCTTGAAAAACCTAATTTAATCCAGGAAAACAAGTGCATGAAGCTTCATTTAGCGCTTCCGGTTCCATAAAAAGTTTTCCATAACTTAAATTTTTGTGTTTTTCATTTTATGAAGACAGCTGTAGTAGCTCTTATAGTTCGTCGTCCTACTCATTGCATCGCGCACAAAAAAAACGGTACACGTTTGGAACGAAAACGAAACTATTTAAATCATTGTGGTCGCAATTTGAAGGGCTGCTTGCACAATAACCGGCTATTCTTGTTTTTGTTTTTTGTATGCCTCAGAACTCATTTTTTCATTTTCGCATTTTGACTTTTGATTTTGCGTTCAAGGTCTCTCTCCTTGTAAATTAAGCTCGTCGATAACGAAAAACGATCGATAACACGGGGTACGAAATTCACGAATGACTTTTCGTTTAAGAGTGGATTTTAATTTAAATGACTAGCGTTATAAAAAAAAATTAAATTTTCTCAAATTGTGATATTTTTTTGAAAAAGGTTTCACTCATAAAAAATTCATGAAATTCAAAGAGCTGTAAGGTGTTATATACTTTTTCCTTGAAACTGTCTGTTGGCTGTTTTTCTTTGCTTTATTTCTTTGCAGTTTGAGTCGACAGAAAGGGATTTATTGTGATATATCTCTCGACCCTATCTGACGTTAATTAAAGAATCCAGCATTTATGAGGGAAAATTACCAAATTCTTACTCACTCCGCTAAAAAGCTAACTGTTGCTGTTTTGGTTTCAGGTAAAATGTCTTTAGCTGCAAAATTGAAAGCTGTCGAACATTTTCTGCCATCGAATGTCATCAAGCAAATCAAAACATCTTCTTTTTTGAATGCAATCACACATATAAACGAAGTATATGACCATAGTTTTGTGCCATATCTTCTTAAAGATAACTTTGCGGCAAAAGGAATGCCGCTAACTTGCGCATCAGCTGCATTACGTAATTTTGTCAGTCCTTACGATGCAACAGTTGTAACTAGGTTACGTAATCAGGGCTATGATGCAATTGGCCGAACGAATATGGATGAGTTCGCAATGGGGTCTGGCTCTGTTGAAAGTATTTATGGTCCGGTACGGAATCCATGGACGGTCTTGAATTTAAACCAAAATCAAACTCATGAAGATTTTATTATCGCCGGCGGAAGCAGTGGCGGTAGCGCTGCAGCGGTTGCCGCAAATTTAGCCCCATTTGCCGTGGGCTCCGATACAGGAGGTTCAATTAGATTACCGGCAGCTTTTTGTGGCGTGTTGGGTTTCAAACCCTCGTACGGCCTAGTTAGTCGACATGGCTTGGTGTCTATGGCTAATGCATTCGACACACCCGGGCTGTTCTCAAGAAGTACAGAAATAATTGAAGAGATTTTCAAGGTGTGACTTAGAACTGATTCTTGATGACAGTTTTTCTTGATGCGTATGAAGTTTTTCATAAAATTTCTTCAACTGTGAATTTTTGTGGAAGTTGCTTCGCTTAAGAAAGCGTTTGCCAAAATTTTGAAGGGTTATTTTGTAGCTGCAGTTGAAGTAGACATGCAAAGAGAAGGTGAAAAAAAAGGGGTTTATACTAAGTGAATAATTTATATATAAATAGTGAATACAGAATCAGTTCTTCCAAATTGAGGTTCTGCTCAGATTTTGATCTCTGAGGGCGACTGCCCATACGATGCAACATGTGACACTTCTATTCTCATACCGCCCAACGAATCCAATTCAACAGCGCCGCTAAGAATCGGAATCCCTGAAGAATACCACGTGGAAGGCCTATCCGATGAAATTTGCCAAGTTTGGGATGAGTTTGCAATTGAGTTGAAGAATAAACTGAACTGGGAAGTTGTGAAATGTTCGCTGCCTTTAACCAGACATGTCATCCCGTGTTATTCGGTTTTAGTAGCTGCTGACGTCGCTTCGAACATGGCAAGATACGATGGAATCGAATTCGGATCTCGAATTGACGAAAACGATATTCTTGATGGTTGCACTAATGTGTACAAAGAAACGAGGACTCGGTTTTTAGGAGATACCGTAAAAAGAAGAATTTTATCTGGAAATTACTTTTCATTGAAGAGTAATTTAGACGATTTTTACGTAAAAGCTCTGAAAGTGAGAAGAATCGTATTTAACGAGTTCGAAAATTGCTTTGTGTCGAATAAGCTCGATGCGTTGTTGACACCGGTGACATTAGACGTTGCTCCTAGATACTCGGAGTTTGTTCAGAAAGACATGCACAAACAATCAGAATTACAGGATGTTTTGACTTGTTCTGCAAATCTAGGAGGGGTTCCTGCTTGTTCTTTTCCGGTCAAGATGTCTCAAAAGGCTAAGTTACCAATTTCGCTTCAGCTTATGAGCCGTTTTGGAAACGACATGTTGCTGTTAGAAACTGTGAAAAAGGTTTCGAAATTGACTAATTTTGATTATACTGAATTAGATGAAGCAATTATAAGTTACAATTAACATAATTAAACAAGGGTAGTCCGTTGCGGTGCAAGTCGCACAAAATTTTCCGCCAGAACGATTAAAGCAAGGAAATTCAAGAAACTAGATAGTTTTTGGAAATCCGAAATATATATTTTTTCAATTTTTTTAAAATAGATTTGCCAAGCTTTTTTTTTCAGTAAGAGACGACTGAATTATTTCCAAAAGTGCAAAATTTTGAGTTGATAATAGCTAATTTTGTGTCAAAATTGCATCTATATTAAGTTGAGAGCTCAGTGTCATTCGTAAATTTCGGGCCATTAAGTCTGAAAAGCAGAAAAAAAAATTTTTGGAATCCGAGTCACGACAGGGACTTTAATATGATAGCACACTTGACTACTTACGAGCTTTTTGAGCTAAGCAAAATCGGTAGGAAGGAAACAATCCATAGTGCTTATAGCTAATCCATAGTTCCTTCCGGTGACTTTGGAATTTCAGTCACCATAGTTTCATCCGGTCACTACCGAGAAAAGAGAGATTGAAAAGTTTGCATTTATTTGATTTTCAGATTCAGCTTTGATAAACTCCAGAACCATTCTCAAATGCCGGAAGGTGAGCGCAGAAACTCTTAATAATGATCTAATAATCGTTTACTTGATCTTTGAGAAAAGCTATTTTGTTTCAGCTGATTTTTCGTTCTCCAATCCCTCGGCTCCCGCCGGTTTCCATGACGAGTAAGTACTTATTTTTTCATTTCTGAATTTTTTGTTACAGAGAGCACAAAAATGTACTCAAAATAGTCATTGTACTGTTTTTCTTTAAGGTAATACTATGTACATGTCAGCTTTCTTTTCTCAATTGTAGCGGGGTTTGAAGAGTAAAAATAGCATTTTCAGTTGTTTATTTCAGCGGTGATCACGAGGGATCAGCCAACCCTCTGAGCAATGCGGACTTTCGCAAACTCCTCATGACTCCCGGAGCCAGGCGGACCACCTCTGGGTCGATGGGAGGAGGGGTCGGGACTGATGCCAACAGGAAAAAGAGGTAACTCATTTTTTATTTATTTCTAATTTTACAGCAAAGCAACTTTCTGATCACTTTTTGCCGTTTTGTAACTGGCGGGAAAAGTTAAACTGAATCTTTTTCAAATTTTCCAAACCAAGTAAAACCTGGACTCAAACCTAGTAAAGCCAAAATAATTTTTCTCAATCTTTCATTTGTCTCAGATTTAATTTATCTGAACTATTACGGAAAAAGAGCTGTGTTTCACTTCTCGTTCTGTCAAACGCTAGGATTCTTGCTTTTAAAGACAACTTTGGCGAAATTCATTTAAAAAAAAAGCGACCACTTTTCATTCATTTAGTGACAAGAAAAAAGGCGGTGATGACAGTTCAGCTGGGGTAGACGGAGGAATGGGTGGCGCAGGGGGCGATGGAGAGGGGGAGGAGAAGCAGAGCAGGTGGGAGAGGAGGAAGAAGAGGAAACAGTATTTCGCCAAACTACTCAAACAACAACAGGAGAGAGAAGAGGAGTTGTCACAGAAGTACAGAGATAGGGTCAGTGTAATATAATTCGGACACTCTTCATAGAATCTTTGTCAGAAATACTCCGGTTTTGTCAGATTTGTGGTATCTTTAAACTGAAATCAACTTTGGATTCAATGAACTTTGTGTACCGGGAAAGAATTCTTTCAATTTTGTCTGGTGCTACACTTTCAAGTGTACTTTCGATAGGGTAGTTGTCATTATTAGATTTTTAGGCTCGCGAGAGGAGAGATGGCAAAGTAGATGAGACGGACGAAAGTGAACTTCTCCAAACATCCGCCGACTACAGAGCAGTAGCCCCAGACTCAACTGCGTAAGCCGAACTGCATTTTGCTCTTCTTTGAGTTTCTGAATTTCTTGTTTTTTTGTTCTGTATCTCAGAAGATTGGGCTTGTATCATGTCCTCCTTCGTTTTGACTTCTGATTTACAAATTCATTTGCAAAAAGGAAGGCAAATTAGTCTCTATATTAACAAAAGTTGAAATGGCACGAAAAACGCATAAAACAAAGTGTTTCAATTAAAAAACCAATGAAAATTTCTTGAAATACAAAGAGCTTTAACTTGAGAAATACAAAGAATGTTGTATTTTTTTGCTTCGAAAGATTATTTTTAGTTTCAAGACGGCGGCAGACAGAAGGAAGCAGGCGATTGAGAACAGCAAGTACCTGGGAGGAGACATGGAGCACACTCACTTGGTGAAGGGGCTGGACTTCGCCCTGTTGCAGAAGGTCAGGGCAGAAATAGACACCAAGGAGGCGGAGGAGCAGCAACTGGACTCCTACGTTGCCTCGTCAGCGCCACAGAATGAGTAAGTTTTTCATGGATTACATTTGGTATTTGCAGAAAATTTCACGCTATCAAATAGTTTACTTCTAACAAAAAAGAGGGGAAACTAACAAAAAAGTTGAGCAAACGGTCACAATAAGCTAGTGAAAAACGTTTTCAAGGTATCAAAATCATTAAGTAATTATGATGAAAGTACGAACTACGATAACGTCTCGTGTTTTCACTACAAGTTAATTTAGATAATAGCCATTTGGAAACGACTGAAACCTTTGGCAAAACTCTTTTCTAGTTTAAATGAAATTGACGGTTTAGAAAAGAAGAACACGTGGCGCCTCAGTTTTCGACTGTCCTCGGACGCAATATCTACAACGTCATAACTCGCAAGTACCCCGAGAGGAACGAGAACTTCTTCCAGGGGCGCATGTTTTACCGCGTTGACTTAGAAGACGACCCCACAGACTCTTTGGCCACCGATATCCCGACAGCGATTCTCCGGTCCAAAGCCGACTGTCCAGTGAAAGAGTCCCAATTGAAGGACGCGACAAATGACATGGTGATCGGACACTTGGCTCAGATATTGTCCTATTTGCGACACGGTGACAAGCACAGAAAGGGAAAGAGGCGACTAGGAGCTGGAGCAGGGAACGAAAAGGGGCAGGGGGCCAATAATGGTTAGTGTTTTCTAGCCACGTTTCGTCCTCTATTTTGCTTATCCATATAAAATTCGGGTGAAAATATAATCAGTTGTGTGAGGTCCTGATATCATTTTATCAGAATTTAAAAAAACGTTTCAAAAGACCACAAAAAGTAGTTGCATTTTTGATATAGAGTTGATCCTTGTCGAATAAAACGTCTTCGTCAAATAAAAGTAATCCGTTAGCTTGTATCGCAGATCGAGACTACCATTCAAGAGGCGACTATCACAAGCAAAGTCGAGACCACAAGACCGACACTATTTTTGATGATGTGAATGATTACGACCCGAAAACGTCTTCGTCGAATCGGAAGCATCACAGCGACCATCGCGACAACTATGGAAGAAGTAGAAACGAGACTCGCCGAGATGATCATAGGAGTCGCAATGGAGAATCGAGTCGACATCATGGACATGGCCAGAGTCACTCCTCGAGAGACACAGCAGCGGGAAGCTACTTTGACAAGCCAGCAGAAAGACTGATAACAGACGATGGATGGTCCCAAAGTATCGACAAGAAACGCGAACAGTTCAGAAAAAGGTGCGTCATTTTTCCAGGAAAAGTTTTAAAATTATTTTGATTTTTCCGTTTGACTTTTGATTTCTTTTTAAATTCAATTCATTGTTTTTGTAAAATGGAAATCAAACTCCTCTATCGAACAGCAAAATTCAAACAGCTTCAAGGCCATATAATTTCACTTTGAAATATGAAAATGAAGCTTTTTCAAAAAAAAACAAGTCAGTTTTTTTCTGTTGCGTTGATTGACTCTTTTCAAACTGTCTGTTGGCTGTGCTTTTGATGTTTGATCTCTGATTTAAAACATTCAGAGCTGGGGAACAAGCTGCGGATGATTCAATCTCGACCGCGAAGAAGGTAGCAGAAGAACTGGAGAAGAGACCGGCTAACAAGGTGGTCCCTGATGGATATTTTGAGTGCTACCCAGACGCAGCTGGCTTCGCCGGAGGGCTGGATGACTCAGACGATGACATCGACTGGACCAAAATGGACATGGTATGTTCAGCGTTGAGTGATAAATTTCTATCGTAGTAGATTATAGAAGTTGAATTTTAGCAGCGTTAACGTCATCTTTAAGATTAATTGTGGTTTCTAGTAAGTTGTTGTTAAAATGTTCTGGAAAACACACAACTCGATATATAAGAAGTAAATAAGGAAAACAACAGCTATAACATTATTATTCAACGACGGCAGCCAGAAATGATATGGAATTTTAGGGCAACAAAAAAGGACCTATGGGCCGATGGGATTTCGAGACGCAGGAGGAGTACAGCAACTACATGTCTAGCAAAGAAGCTTTGCCCAAGTTAGTACACAGTATCGCAAATTAGTACAAAGGGGGGACCCTTTGGGTTGGCAGGGGGTTGAATCCCGGAAGAAAAGGTGTCCGCCCCTCCTAAATACACCGCTGGTACACACGTTGCTATTAGTTACCGGTCTACCATTTGTTCTTCGTTTGTTAACTCATTACGCGTTAAATGCGCGGATGAGATATATTCAAATATTATCTCCTTATTAAAAATGAGATGTTTTCAGGGCTGCTTTCCAGTTTGGTGTGAAAATGAACGACGGCAGGAAGACTCGCAAGCAGCACGTGGGTCCCAAGGACGAGAAGAAAGCACTGGACAGAGAGTGGGAACAGATCAGCAAAATCATCGACCGAAGAAAAGGGGGAGGAGCTAATTAGATGGACTGAGGTGGGCTCGAATACAGAAGGATGAGATGGAAAATCAAAGATTCTTCCGATAGATGTAATTTGTCGATGATGGTTTCCGCCATCGCCAATGTAAGTTGAATCGTTCAGAAGTATAGCGAAAACGACCGAATCTTCAATGCCTATAGCCAACAAACTTGAAATTCACAAACTGATATTTTATTCGAAGTAAAATTTCGTAGTCAATTAAATAAAAATTTTATAATGTTGTTTTTGCTTTAAACTCAAACATTCGGGGCTCAATTTTGGGATTTTCGATAACCTTGTTCCAAAATTCACCAAAGCTTGATTGTCCTTCTCTGAAGAAATCGAACGACGTGCTAATCTTTTAGCTTGTTTGGAGCGCGAATAGAGGGCATTATTGCGCCGATAAAATGTCAGCAAAACTGCTAACACTAATTGGTCTAGTTTTTATGGCTCATATTGCAAATATCTCTTTTTCGGAACTCGAACCTCTTTCCATATGCAAAAAAAGGTAATTTGAAGTTTTTTAAAGCATAAGTTCGATGATATAGCTGAGCATTTTGTTCCGACCACCCACGGAGTGGGAAGGAACGTCGGGGTAAGGTTTTCCCGCTGGACTAATTACCTCAAACTTCTTGCAAGGAGCTAAGTATACTATAGTCTTAAAAGGCTCTGTTGTGCTGTGATACCACGAATACAATTTTCAGTGCCGAGAACAGCCAGTCAAAATGTTATCGTTTTTATTCTACTATTGTACAGTAGGCTAGACGATAAAGCTACACGTTTAACTTACCCGAATAAAAGTCCTATTGAATTACACACATGATTTTTGAGTGCTTGAGCAAATTTTTTAGTATGAAGTTCGTGTCTTTTAAGAGAAATGAACGTAGTGATCTTTTTTTTGTTCTGGTGATCTTGATGATTTTTTTTTTGGTTAAAAGTATTAAAATGCTCTAATAACTACAGATGTGCATTCATACATAATAATGCATTTCTGAATGCACTCAGATATAAATGAACTTTGAGTTCAATTGAAATTCATTTGCTGAAATTTACGTCGGTCGGTTCTTACCCGAGTCGAGTATTTCTGCCCAATTTCAAACAAGATTTGAATGGTCAGTTTTTTTAGACAATCAGGCTCGACTCCTTGCTTAGAGAGATTGAGTGTTTTGAGCGGTTTTTTGGAAAAATTTGAGCATTTTTTATTTTGATTTTTTAAGAAACGTTATCAAACTGCACAATTTTTTTAGATCGAAAACATATAGGTTGTTTTTGCCCAAATATGTTGGTTTTGTGTTAAGTACGGAGCTCATATTTTATAGAACTGTTTGCCTGTGCCCTGGAACATAAATGTTCTTTTGGGATAAAGATTTGAGCGGTTCTTGCTTGGGTTTGAGATTTGAGCGGTTTTGAACGGTTTGATCGTTTTTTGTAAAGATATGAGCAGGTCGAGCGCAATCGTCTAAAAAAACGCTCAAACCGCTCACATCTCTTGGGATCTCTGCTGGTGTGATACCGCAACATTGCTAACGCATGATATTTTTTAAAATTTAAAATGTGTCATTCAAAAAACTTCAGCAATTAGGAATTTTCTTTTAAGATAGAACTAATTCACCTAAAATGGTACTTGCCTGTTCGTCAATTGAAAAATTTTGAAAATGTTTTGTTATGTTTTGATATGAGCTAGTTTGTTCGAACTGCAACTCATCATCTGGACCGAACATAGTGTTGAAATTATTAGGAGCACCACTGGCGGGTCGAGTTACATCCTTGGTTCTCGTTTGTGTAGCCTTTTGCAGTCAAATAGTTGTGCACGCTGGATAAGTTATCAGCATTAAGAACGATAACATTTCTCTGACCGTCCGCGGAGACCAGCTGATCCCAGAAAATAGTAGTCTCCGGGGCACCCCAGAAGCGAAGTCTCTTCCGATTTTTTCTAAAGTAGAGATTGGATTTGAACATTGATTTTCAATTGATTAATTTTTCAACTTGGGATGAAAACCATATGAAACATATTACAAAATAAGTTAGAGTGAGCGTTGTTGCCTAAATTACCAGGTGAGGAGTTACCAGGTGAGAAGTGCTCGTAGGGAATGAAATGGGGTATCATATTGAGCTTTTTATTTGAGTTTTTTGTCTTACGCATTGCTTCAGACAAAATATATTCTATATATGCTTAAAGATTTCAAACATAGAGGATTCATAATTAAATAATTTCAAAAAACCACCTGAGAAAATTGAAAAACATCAATTTTGTTTGCTTCTTAATTGTTTTCTAATAAAACTACCGTGGTCGGAGCATTCTGGGTTACTTGGACCGCATTGTTTTATGACAAATTCGTACAAAATGAAGGAAAAAACAGCTCGTCGGTTACTTAAGTTTTGTTGTTCCGACCATTAAAAATTGGGTGGTATTTCGGGTGTGTTTCAGTTTTTTTCTTTTTTCTTTTCAATTTTTTTTCAGCAATTTTTTTTTCAAATTTTTAAAAAGTTTTCCACGCAAAGTCAGGTGCTACAAATAGTCATCGCCCTTTTAGTCCTGATTCGAAAGAAACTTTAAAATTGGCAAACATTACGAGGCCAAACTGTGCATTTTCTTCATTGTAAGCGGAATCCGCAACAGGCCAAAATCAGATTTGTCGCGGAATCTGCAACATTGCTACTTTTCTTTGATCTTCTATGCTGTTTTGGATTCCACAAACAAATACCTAAATCATTGTACCGCTCAAAATCGCTCAAAAAATAGGCGAGCTTGTAGAATCCGCAACTGTACTTGTGGATTCTAGAACAGTTTGTGGAATCCACCAACAAATGATAAAACATTTGTATCGTTAAATTGAGCTGTTGCGGAATCCGCAATTGTAAATGGAATCCGCAAATTGTAGGTGGAATCCGCAAATTGTAAGTGGAATCCGCATTTTGTTTGCGGATTCCCTTTACATATATTTATATGTGTAGTAGCCTTTACAATTATATCTTTTAAATAAATGATTTGATTTCACTAGAATAGAAATTTACTAGAATAGAAAGTTACTAATAGATCAGTGTTTGGGGTTAATGGAATCCCAATTACTGACCATTATTTGGAATCGATGAAATCCCAAATACTGAACTAATTCGACGATTTGCTATGCGTTGGGTTTCTAATCACTCTCAACCTAATGACTCCAAATCATGGATATATTCCATTTTTATTCCGCATTATTCCAGTTTTTGGGATTCCATCAACCCCAAATACTGACCAGTATTTGGGATCGATGGAATCCCAAATACTGATCTTATTCGACGATTTGCTATGCGTTGGGTTTCTAATCACTCTCAACCCAATGACTCCAAATAATGGATTTATTCAATATTTATTCACATTATTCCAGTTTTTGGGATTTCATCAATCCCAATTACTGACCAGTATTTGGGATCGATGGAATCCCAAATACTGACCTAATTAGGCACTATGCTGTGTGTTGTGTTTCCATACACTCTCAACCCAATGACTACAATTACTGCATTTATTCGGCGTTATGGTTCCAAAATCAGTATTTGGGATTGACGCAATCCCAATTACTGACCTAATTTGTCAATATGCTGTGTGTTCCATACTTTCTCAACTCAATGACTCCAAATATTGAATTTGTTCGAAGTTGTTTTTCCAAAATACTAAAAGATGGCATCCACTGAGTTAGGTAACCAATGTTTTAAGACTTGTCGTGAAGTTTTTGCTTTTAAATTCCGCTTTGCTAGAGATAAGAATTCCAGCTCAGCTTTTAATTGTTCATATGAAAGTTCAGTATTGAACAAAAATCGGAATCCATTTACAGTTTGCGGAATCCACTAACAGTTGCGGAATCCAGAACAACTAGCTATATTTGCTTGTTGCGTAATCCGCAATAAAACAAATGTGCCGACAAAATTTACGTTACAGGTATATGTATGCGGAATCCACCGAAATTTTGTTTGTGGAATCCACTTACATTTTGGAACATATTTTAAGACTTGTCTCTGGAATCCAGGAACATACAGACACAAAATGGTGCTCCCATCCAGTGCACAGTTTGGCCTCGTAATGAAAAAATTTTTTAGTATCGAGAACAACCGGTTAGTTTGAATTTTTCTATCTCCTAGAGACGTTTATGCTTTATTCACCAAGTTGCTACGCGTTAGTTTAATTGCATCATCACACGATGTACAGAAAAGACACTTGAAGAACTTGAAGAAAAATGAAAAAAAAAACATTTAACTGAGAATGTTGGTAAAATTCCATGCTACGTGCACAGGAACCGGCTATACTTGCTTTCGTTTAGATTTTAAGGCCAGTCGATGTCAAAAAAATCATAAAAATGAAAGCTTACGGCCAAAACTCTTGCCGCGAGTTGAACCAAAAAACCGCCCCACTGAATTATGTTCATGAGCAATTTGCATGTGCTATCATTATGACGTAATTTATTTACTCGTACGTTTTTGAAATGATGTCATTTATGTTGAATAGACAATATCGTCATTAGTGTTGTTTAATAGATAAAAACATGCATAAAAGTTTTAAAAGTTTATTTGTGTAGTTTTTGTCGTCTAAATGTTTTGTGTTTTTTTTTCTAGTAAAGGCGGTTGAAATGGGTAAAATTCTCTAGAAGGAGCGGTAAATAGAGTTAAGATATCGTTAAAATTCTAGTAGAAGTTAACTTGGGATTCATAGTCTGAAAACGAAGAAAAAAAGGCAGAGCCTTTTTTCTTGGCACAGACGTCTCTTTTGAACTTTTTAGAGTCCCTATCACGACAGTAGTAGATGTTGGAGGTTAAGTGTGGGAGGCATGGGAGACAGCATGTATTAAGATCCGTTATAGATTTCCAGACTTCCATGCTATGTATTAACATTGGGTATAATACATTGTATCTCTAATGTATCTCAATACGTGGGTTCTCCCATGCCCCCCCCCCCCCCAATTAACCTCCAACATCTACTTCTCACGGCCAATGGGGCTTTCATATGATACCACCCCATACGAGTTTTTTTGAGGCAGTCAAAATGGCACAAAAACTGACCCTATGTCATAGCTCTTTCCAAATACTTTCACGTGGTTCGAATAGTAGAAAAAAGCAAAAAATTTCTGAGAGTCGATTAGGGTGCGGAACCAAATAAACCAAGCTTCATGACTAAAACACGGTTACAAAACGCGGAGAAAGTTTTTTTTTGCTCTATTTAATTATCATACTCTATTCACTTAATGTCTCAAATTGATCTCAAATTCATCAAATCGAATTGTTTTCCGGTTACATTATAGTTAGAAAAACAGAAATCTTGGACCGCTTGTTTTTCTCGATACTTGGAAAAATGTTCAGATTTTTTTTATTGGATACCGCTTCATGACTTGATGAACTTCAACATAATATGGTAATAATGAACTTCAACAAACAAAATATAGTAGTTATCAGTAGGCTTTCTACGGCGTGGCATATGAGACTCTTTATTATCTACGGAAAAAAATAGCACTCGAGAACTACAGCTCCGTCTTACTGTGAACAATTGCAAAAAGGGAGGATTCTAAAAATGTTCACGTAATATGTAAGACGTCATCATTGTGTGGAAATCATTAAAAAACAGAAATTTGACGGAAAAATCAGCAGTTTTAGCTTAATCAACTTCGTTGCAGATTCGTTGGCCGAAAAGATATTGCCAATAATTTGGCATTACCTATATATAAAAATCATTTCTTAGTTATCAGTAGGATGTTACCTTGAGTTCGAGATGAGTGTTTGCAGAAACTCCAGTTGACAATAATCCAGAACTTGCACGTCTCCGAAGATGACCTTGAAATTGAATGAAGTTACTGGTGAGAATGTTTCATCGAATGTTCCGATTGTGGAGATGATGTGATTGTCGAGTGAACAGAAATGAGGGGGCCCTTCAAGTTCCATTTCCAGGAGTGGCCTGTTGCCTGTCAAATTATTTGAACTTTGTTTGAACTACCTTCAAAACAATTCACATTTCATCTTTCGTGTTCTGACTAAGTAATCCTTCAACTATAACACACTGGGACGGTAAAAAAAGGTTCGCCACTCATCTGCCTAATTGGAAAACGGCTTTAAAATAGTCTCACTTTTTTGAGAGTCGATGAAGGAAGTTCAGACTCTTATATAGGTCGTGATCTTTTTTTGTGTTTGTTTTTTTTTTCAGGAAAAATCTCAAACTTTGTTCAGGCTCATATTTACTTTTTCGTGGTGCGACTTTCGATTTCTTTTCAAATTCAGTTCATTTCTTCATTAAAAGAGGGCATTACAGGAGTCCCTTCTTTATTAAGGGACGGCAAACTCCACTATCGAAAAGTAAAGTGTAAAGGTCACGAAAAACCTGATCGACTTCTAGTTTCGACAATTGATTGAACTTAATTATCGGATTTCTCAGCAAAGCACAAATTCACCTAAATATCCAGTTTTCTCAAATTGGGTTTATTTTATCAAAAAAGGGACAATCATATTTTTTCTAGAAATTCAATGAGCTTTAGGACCATCTAATAAAAAACTTAATAATTTTTTTCTTTTTCTCGCGTTGATTCACTCTTTGCCAACTGTCGGTCCGTTGGCTATGGTTAGATGATAGAAGTTGTCGCTACTATGTATTTCGAAATTGAATTAAATTTTTTTTCCATCAGTCAAATTTTTTTATTGGTTTTGAATTTTTTAAATTAAATTATGGTGATCAAAACATTCTGTGTTAAATACACAGCAACCGGCTATCCTTGTTTTGAATGAGATTTGAAACTAAGGTTCAGTAACTATACCTGTGATTATGCAATGCAGGAATGACTGTTTATAACCTCTGTTGTCATCCCATGAACTGAAAAGATCCGAATAGTTGGCAAATATTTCATTGTAGAGCGATTTGTAAGTAGGAGGTCCGTCTGTTTTCAAGTCGAAAAACATATTGAGGGGTTTGATAGAAGTGAAGTTCCAAATGTATCCATCAGACAGAATTTTATTCCTCAGCGGGCTTAGATACTCTCCGACTAGTGTTATATTACTCGCTGTGTTATGACCTAAAACATGTAGTCTATTGTTTTTCACGATTTCAAACACTGCATCTAAGAGTTAGCATGACACTCAGGGGTGGATCTAGAATTTTCTAGAGGGGGGGGCGCATTTTCAAAAGTTTTTCGAAAATTTGTCGACCTTTTTTAATTGTCGACTTTTTTTTGACCGTCGAGCAAAATGATTTTTTGAGCACTCCCACAAAGTATAAATACCCTATTTTTTTGACTAAAATTGAACGCCGCAAGCTAATTTTTGAAGAAAAAAACAGGTCAAAAAAGCTGTTTTTGGACAATTTTTGGAAAATTTTGACCAAAAAAAATACATTTAGATGGCGCGCGCTCTCCTTCAAATTAGTATATATAAGCGCCAAAGGAGCCTTTAGAAAAAATTTAGCGTTGTTCGGCCGAGAATTGATTTCATAAAAGCCGAAGGGGGACCCTTTGGTTGGTGATAGGGTCAATTTCCTGATGGGAAGGGGGCGTCCGCCACACCCGCGCCCCCATCACCCCCCCCACCCTAAATCACTAAATCAGCCCCTGATTGCAATATTAAGGAAATTTTTGACAATATTTATGGTCACCTAGGCTAACTTTTGATAAAAATTTCTAAAATGTTGTTTTCATGAGAAGTTTCTGAATCGTTCAGAAACTGCTCAGAAAGTGCACATCTCGCAGAATCTTTATCAAGCAAAAATGCCCAATAAAAAGAAAAAATGTTTTCATTAGGAAGCCCTTTTCTTTCGGTTCTGACACGAGCTATAATGTCAGATGAGTTGATAACAAGCTGTTAGATCCCAGAAAAAATCTCCCATAATAATTTGGATTATTCCATATTTTCTTTAGAAAATTTAACTTTTGCTTTCTGTTTTTTTTGTGGTACCGTCCTGCTGCATGGGTGCCTAGTTATCGTTTATCTTTATTAATTGAAATTGTTAAATTTCAGAGTTTGATTGAATAGTCTGCAGTTCACGTACAGGCTATCTGTGGGTTAATACTTGGCTGATCCTAGTTTTGTATTGTTCCGAAAATTTGAAAAGTGCGGAGGAACTTTGTATTCGGGTGTTTTTTTCTCCTTTTTTGTCTTCCATGCAAAATCAGATACCAGAAACAATCATCTGAGAGAATTTAGTGATATATCAAATGTGGCAGCCTTTTCAGTCGCGCTTCAAACGACACTGCAAAATTTTCAAAAAGTTTTCTCAATATCGCGAAGAAATGGTTTCGAAGTACAGTTTTGATTTTTTCTTCAATTTCAAGCGAAAAAAGCGAGGGAGCAGGTTAACAACAGCTTATTTTTGCCTAATTAAAGTTCTGAAGATATCATTTTAAAAAATCAAAATTAGCTTTTGGAAAAATTAGCGCCATTTTGGGAACAAAAACTTTTTAAATAAATCAAAGGTTTTCTGCGAAAAATTAAAAAAAAATTTTTTTTTGATATATTCTTTGATTTTTTTTAGCCATTGCCTTTCGAAAATTTAGACAAATTGCCTATTTTCTTATGACTGTCAAATATTTCTAAAATATAGTTTCACGTCAGATCTTTTTATCACACCACGCAGAAAACACTACACTAATTTGAAGAAAATTTTTTTTTGTAGTTTTTAATGAGTATGGTCGGTACATTCTGTGCTACTTGCACAGTAACCGGCTATCCTTGTTGAGTTAAGATAATATTCGAAAATCAGTTGCCAGCGTATATTGAGTTTATACGTCACTCAGGCTCATGACTCGAGCCTTAATAATATATGTTATTTTATGTTTTTTCTAATGTTTTTTTGTTTCATACTTATCAGATCGTAAACATGAAGCAATTGAGACAAGTGGCAAATTTAGAAAAAAGGGAAGCTCGGAAACGCCTACCTTTGTGTCACACTAACTAGACCCTTCCACTGAAAAATCACAGTTATTTGAAAAACAAGTGCAATGTTAGTAAAAAAACAAAAGGGTAATGTTAGTAAAAAACCAGTGGCAAAAGACAACAAATGGTTTGCTTTATGCAAATTGACCTTGACATTAGATAAAACTAAAACAGTTTCATTAAACGGAGAGAGAAAGAAAACATACACAAGAAACAAAACGAGCAAAAGTACACGTTCAAATATTTGATTGCATCTTAAACGGCAAAAAATGGAAAATATTGACCACATTGTTTCTGTTGAATAGAGTTGGAATCGATTCTACGAACTTAAAAATCGACTGCGCAAGGCTCTACGCAAAATAAACAAGCCCCCTTTTTTTAAATCAAACTTGCATCAAACCTGTAATCACGGCTACCATAGTATCAACATTTGTATCATTATACTTATATCAGGAAAAAATGAAAAGTTAGAAACGAAAAACAGCTTCACCTAACAAAACTTTGAAGCTATTGAGCGTAACTATCAGCGGTGAAAGTGGAAACTGCTGCTAACTGTGGAAAAATATTCAACCCTCTGATTTTCATGCGCAACAATCTAAAAAGCTTCAAAAGAATTTATTGATCAACTCTAAAAAAAACTATACATTTTCAATTGTCCTACGAAAACAAAAAGTCTATTAAAATCCTAGCTTGGGCTTTGGGCTTGGGCTAAACTTTGAAGCCACAGCGCACAATAAAAAAAAACAAAAGCTAATTTTAAAGCAAAAATTTTCAAGCGAAAGTTGAAATTAAAACGAAGCAGCCATCATCAATATTTTTTTGTTAGTTTTCCATTATCTTTCCTCTGTTTTTGCAAGTTTCGCGCAAAATTTTGAAGAATGTCCATGAAAAAGCATAATTTAGCTATATAGATCCGATTTTTTAAAACGCAGAGCAGTTTCTGCTGTCTGGTATTTATCAATAAATCTGCCGTGTATTGCAAAGAACCGTTGATATGGGAAACAAAAACTGGAGACCCGGGCCGGCAATAAAAATAGTGGAACCTGATCTGATCTACATTTTATAATTGGATAAATTGGATACTTTACCACTGTAAAATATTTAATATTAACCAATCATAACCCATCTAACTAACAACCCACTTATTTGTAAGTGCTGAAATTACTTGTAATTTCAGCACCAGAGAGATTTGAATTTTACTTAGAAATTAGTTGCCTCTCCAAGAGAACTTCAGCAGCGGCAATAAACCAGTATACCTTAGATCTATTGAGCCTAGCAGAGACTAGTTAAACACCCTGAGACTAGTAAGTATAAGAGTAAGATTAGGATCGGTATTAGACTAAGAAGTTGCACGAATCTATCCGGCCGAAAATAAGATAGCGTGACGAGCAGACGGTGTACCCTATCCGAAATTACTCTATGAGTTGACCACATCGGTCCTAACTCATCTGGTGCGACCATAAGTCTCGAATAAGACCTCAATAGTTTAGAACTAACCAAATATATAGATTAGAAATTAGACAAAACATTTTCAAAAATGTTACACGATAATAATTTAATTGAAATGTCTCTACGACTCAATAGATCAGAGCCGATATTCTGAACAATAATAGAACTACCCGGAATTGGAAGAAGACCTCGAACAAGAGACGACATACGACAAAGTAGAAACTTACGATTTAGTTTTATGATTGTACGGCAAAAGCCAACACAAACTTTTGTATTCAGAATCTTATTAGCAATTAATTTAGATTTTCATTTGCAAACATAAAATTTTGAAGTCAATCTTCATGATCAATTCAGGCGCTAAACAAAACTATTAATGTACAATAACGATTGATAAAAAGATCTAAGATCGTTTTCTTAATTTCTGCAGTCTTATATAAAACATATTTGAAAAATATTTTTTGAAAATGAAAAGAAAAATTAGTAGCATGACAATAAATTGTTAGTAATCATAAATCATCTGTTGTCCCAGCTTCATCACCTAAACATAACAGCAATCATAAGCTCACTAATATCATTAAAGAACTAAATCTTTTTCTTAAATAAATTTAAACCATTTTAAACTTGAATTCACTTAATTTTAAAAATCAGATCATCAAGGCTTATCCTTGGATCTTAATTCATTTTCCATTTCACTAAATTTAAAACCTGATCATTAAGGCCTATCCTTGTATCAAAAAGAACAATTTTGTTCTCCCCCACCCACTTAGCAAGTGTCTAACGACCTCAAACGTCGATTCACTATCCAACCTTTCCAAAAGACCCAAGACTAATAGAAATTTTTCAATAAAACTAACCATTCAAATTAAGATAAACAGAGAAGAACTTCGGTTATTCATTCTTCACTTGAACCCTTCTCTTACCAGACCCAGGATAGATCTTAGACTTAGTAAGTTTAAAATAGTATCTAACGAACTACTTGCGTTCTAATTATACCTGAACCTTGTGGATCGATTTACTATTCTCCAACCCTTGAACACAACCACTACCTCTAAGTAAGATTAAGTAAGTTAACACCTTAGCTTAGACTAGCCACGAGAAAGTAAAAAATCATTCTTCGGAATCGATATACTTTTCTCTCCAACCCTGAACAAAAAGGCCTAGGCTAAGCTAACCGAAAAATCGTAAGGACTAACAGTCTAAGGAAATAGAAATAATTAACAACTTCTTGCAACCCTCATCCTAACCCTTATGTCATTCAAAAACTTGGGAAATAAACAAACAATCGTTTTACACAACTGTAAAATTGATAACAAAAAATGCGATCTTGTAATCACACCTCAAACACAAACAGTTGGATACATTAAAACAAAACGACAAACAATAAAAAGGAAAATTATAAACAAACAAAGACAAATCACACGAAAAAGATTTTCAAAAAAATAGAAACGCATTTTCTGAATCAGAAGCTAGCAGTTTAGACGAACTATACAAATTAAAAGAATCAATAAATAAAAATTGTCCCATCCATGTTCAATTATATTTTTCCGACTCAGAAACAACTTCAAATTCATCAAAAAGAGGAAAAAGAAGAATAAAAAAGCAATAAAAACACAAAACAGTACACCTGTATGATTGGAATCAACCAATTAGACACATCGACAGCTATATATTAACAGTCATCAAACAAAAAAATGAGCCA